AAGAAATGATCGTGTCGGCCCTGTCCACCTCCCGGCTCATGAAAGAACTCCCAGGCTTGCCTCCAACGGGCTTGGATACGGGTGACAGCCCCATGAAAGCAGCGTCCTTGAGCCGATGGAAACGAGATGACTTTTTGCCGTGAGTTGATACACATTTTCCCATCATCTTAAGCACCATCTTTACTTTCAGGAGCGGGAGACACTGCCAGGAACTAGATTCTTTCCGGAGATACGTTGGTGATATACTCATCGCCGAGTACCAGAGAAAGCTCGAAAGCATCCAGGAATTCCGGGAGGACGCCAACCAAGTCGAGGTAAGCTATCTAGCGTAAGCGATCAAACCAGCTTAGCGTTTTCCACAGAGATCTGTGGCGATCAGTGCTCTGGACTACTTCTGGAGAATGCATCTCGCCAACATGAGCAGGCTTTCATCCGCCGTAAGTCTGTAAACTCTTTTTTCTCACGATTTTGATTTCGCTTGAGGGAGAGCTTTTCGTTTTTCTCACGAGCTTTCCATGTCTCTCACAGGTCCAAATCACAGGCTTTGGCCACATGAATCCTCTGGACGAGTATAAACTCGACGGCGCGCGATTCTTCATCAAGATGCTCAGCGCTGCGAGACGAATGACGGTGGAATCGCTACTCAAGCCGTGGGCCGACTAGCGCCACGTCAGCGTCTGACGCGGCCGCCACTCTGCACGTGGCATTCTCCCGTTGGCTCGCATTTGTGGGGACGCATGTGGGCCAATCACCTCCATTTTGTAGGGTGACAGAGCGTGGGTGTGGAAAAACCCCAGTGGTTTCGCCAATATATTCCAAGCGCTCCGCCGCCCTCGTCGATCGATCCTCTCGCTCGCGATCCCATGGCGGCGGTAGCGGCAGCGGCAATTCCTTGCGCGGCGGCGGTGGCGGTGACGGCAGCGCCAGCAATCAGATCCACCAGGAGCTCCAGCAATGGATTCTGCAAGGCCGTGAGCATCGGCAGCGGCAGCGGCAGCGGCGCCTTCCACAGGTTTGGCCTGAAATCCGCGCTCTCCACCTCCCGGATAGTGGCCATGGCGACTTACAAGGTCACATTGAAGACCCCCAAGGGCGAGGAGGTTCTAGAGGTCCCGGATGACACTTACGTCCTGGATGCCGCGGAGGAGGCTGGGATCGACGTGCCCTACTCGTGCCGCGCCGGCGCATGCTGCAGCTGCGTAGGCAAGATCGTCTCCGGCACTGTGGACCAGTCGGATGGATCGTTCCTGGACGACGATCAGAAGGCCGGGGGCTACGTTCTCACTTGCGTGGCGTACCCAACCAGCGATGTGGTGATCGAGACGCACAAGGAGGACGAGCTCGCAGGATGAGGCGCGAGGTCAGCCATAGTCTCTAAGAATTCTTCCTCTTCTTCTTCCCTCTTCGCATTTTGTGCCTGGTTCTTTTGGAGAGTTTTCTCTTGCTTTGGTTCTACTCCTGTTTCTCTTGCTTCTCTTCCTTGGTTTCATGTGGGTTGTGGTGAGATGAGATGAGGAGAAGGCTCTCTCTTTTTTGGTTTCTCTCTCACTCGCCGGGTGTCAATGTCCAGCAGCCATTGACATGGTCTAGCTGAGAGTATCAATATATATTCTTTATTGAATAAGTTAGAAGGCTTCTCCCTCGTGTCGTGTATGGAGCTTGTAGATTCCGTGTGGTGCTTGGACTCCCAATGTCTCTTGGGTCCTTGCCACTAGCTCATTCTCGGCGTCAAGGGTTGTGCGTTACTGTCGATCTTCGTCCAGGTGAGACCTTTTGATAGACTGCGAAAACTTCGTGGCACCAGCAAAGCGTTGTGTAAGGTGGAGTCATCATTTTGCATGTACAGGTACGTACTTCCTCCATCCATTCTTATGATAGATGTTTTGAGTCACGCAGCGCCCGATTAGACATGGCATATCCTCATTTACTACATTTCTCTAAATGCTGGGATGGCTTCTACTTAAGTTTTTTTTAACAATATAAAACTCAAAGGTATATTTTATACCTTTATCGGGGTATAAAGGTGTAGTCGCAACCGCGAACATTTTGGCGACGTGATAGAGAAGTTCTGCAGAGATTGCAATCTGAAGATCTTGTCTCTTGTTTGTTTTCTTTCTTTTTGATGCTCATTGTCATGCTATGTTGATCAGCCAATCAACTACGTGGATTTCAGCAAAGGAGGGCATGAAGTGCTCGCGACGACTGAAGGAAGGCGGCTGATGGGCCATAACTATGGGTATACGGTCCTCTTCAGTTGTAAGAACATCGAGGATCTCGACGATGTTCGCCGCTACAAGCAGGTGTCCAACAAAGAGAAATTGTACCAGATTGCGAGGGCTTCTTACTTGACAAAAGACAGATACCGTCCTCTGAAGCCAGGAGACGATTTGGAGGTGGATGAAACTGACTATCCAAGCAAGAACATTGTGGTTCTGCTCGAGAAAGGTGAGGGCTCACGATCCTAGCTCTTTTCACTTGTGTTGCATGTTTAAATAGTTCATAATGAAAACAAAAAGAGCTTTCCTGTCACTGATCATCTTCCCAATTGCTGGTCAAGGGACCTGTCCGAGAGCTTCCAATTCCAGGCGAAGAATCAGTACTATGGTGGTCCGCCGATCTCCATGGCGGGCATGTACGAGCAACAGAATCAGCACCACCTCCACCGTCATCATTCATCTGAAGGGAAGTGAAAGTTCGGAGTTCCTTGTTAAGGGATCAATCTTACTTAATCAAGTAATCAAGACAAGAAAATCGACGAAAGTAGCAATATGTCATGCATCCAAAACTAGAAACTTCGTGATGAGCAGCTCCTTACATGTGTTCAAATCTTTGAACGAATTATTGGGAGTTGTCAGAGAGAGAATTGTGGACCATCGCTAACCTTCTAGTCGGTTGTCAAGCTTAAATGTACAAGATCGATTTCAATATTGCGTTTTTGCAAACACCAGTATTCCCGGGTTTAAGTAGGATAGTGGTCCTAACATACACCTGAGTTGCAGATGCTTGAGAAAGAGCATAATCAGCATCTTCAATCAAACAAAAACACTTCATCTGGATTCTTGAAAGAGAATTTCCAGCTCAGTTAATCGCTGCTTTCAAGGATTTTTTCTACGGATCCAAATTCAACCCAAAGACCCAGGACTTGAGCAAAGAACAAACAGAAACCAGAGCAATTGCTGTGCTGCTGCCACCATCGAAGAAATAGAAATGGATGCAAACTTGTGTTGAAATTAATTCCGTGCTAGCGATTTCTTATTTTTGCAAACTTAATTTGAGAAACAGGAATATGCTCGGGATGGCTCGTGCCTCCTGGGCCTGCCGGCTCAACGTTGAGTTAGTCATTCATGTCATTTTATCTATACGATTGTGGTGCCTTCATCAAGAAGCCTGCATGAATGCATGCAATGGATACTTTTTTTTTGTTATTATGATCTAAACTAAAGTCAGCACTGATTACTTTAATGCCCGTGTTATCTGTGATTCGATTCCATGATTTCAATATTATGAAGTGTTTCCAGTCCACTAGAGCAACTTGGCATGTTCACGCCATGCTAGAATATTCTATGAGCTAGAGTATATATATCAGCCCCCAAACTCAAGCTTGCCAGTGTAGTTGTGAAAGTTTCTAGCTGCGTGTATCCAATAGCGCTTGTATCTGTGTCATAATGGAAGGTTCACACAAAGACATTGGTGAGATATTGCTCACCGCGAGGTCGAAGCTGCATGAGAACTACAAGATGTATTCAAATCTATCCATTAGCAGTCAGAACGCACAGCATTACATGGTGATCACCAATGACGGCGGCACAGTTCAGGTCCAGCCGAAAGGATCAAATGACAAGAAAGGTACTTTCTACCTCCAACTGTCACCCACAGGCCAACTCGAGAAGTACCAGGACGATGAGGAGGAACCAGTTGATGTCAAGGGAGAAATCCTCGAGCAGAATGATGAATACGTTCTGGTTGTGAAGAACACTGGAAAGGTCTACGTCCAGCTTGATGATGAGGACAAGCAGGAGATTAAGGGACTGCCATGGTAAAGCCATGGCTATTGATATGTGGTTGTTTCAATGTGACGGTATTAAGTAAATAAGAATCAACCTGTGGCGTGTGGTTTGATTTTAAGCCCAGATGCTGCAACAAGAAGATTCAAAGTGGCAGCCAATTGATATGCTATTAAATCTCGTTGTTTCAGGAGCACATCTCACCCTTGGATTCCTAGATTTCTCTACTTATTACGACGTTTCTAATCAGCCTCGGGCTCCAAAGTAAAAACCGATTAGCAGACTATATACCCTTCTCCAAATCTCGATTCTGAAGCTCCAGGGATGGGGTGTTGTCTCAGGCAGATCTGACGAATCATGAGCGAATCATATGGTTGAAACTGAAGCGAGGCTGCAACTGGGCCACTGTGCGGCGCAGTTGAAATTGGCAGCAGCAGCATCAGCAATAGCTCTGCAGATTTCTCAGCTGCCTGTATTCCCAGCCCCTCATTACACCTTTGCAAATGTACAAGTGAATTCACATATAGTAGCTTCTTTTATTTCTTCTTCTTTTCACAGTGAGAGGCAATGTTCTTCAGTGTGTTACATCTCTCTAGCAGATTCAGAGCAGAAATCGTTAACAGCCATGCCTGTTTAGTTGATGATAAGGTTTCATCTCACATCAGGAGAGTTCTATTGAGTCGTACGTGAATCAGTGTTGCCAAGCTTCTCCATTCTGACAAGTTCTACGCAATGGGGAAGCCTTCGCAGCACATGAGGATGCGGATGCTGCTCCTGAAGCCACGGTTACAATCTTCATTGAAGTCATGACCGGAGTCACGATCAAAATGCAACGTAAGGTATGAGTTAGTCAATGCACAACATGGCATGGGATTTTAACGAGGAAATGAAGTGTTCAGCGCTAGATGGTTCTCTTCGTGGTAAGAACACCGAGGATCTCTCATGTTGTAGGTTCTCTTGGTGGTCACACGCCTAGTTTAGAAAGAGGCATCTCACTTGTCCCAAGTAGAGATTTGTATTGATGTTTGTAACTTGTAGTGTTTAGATTTCCAGTCTCTGGATCCTAAAGTTTGTGTGTTACTGTCGAGCTTGTTCCAGGTGAGAGCTTTGTGGTCTACTTCTTTGTAGACTGCTTTGCCCAGACAAAAACTTCCTGGCAGATGCTCCTTGTGTAGACAACCACAGCGACGAACACCACCAGCAAAGCGTTCATTCGTTTGAAGTCGATGATTTCATGGCTAGCAGAGCCGAACAAGGTGGAGTCGTCGTTTTGCATGTACACCACCGAGCCGGAGGAGGCACCGAGCTTACGTACTTCCTCGAGGAGGTAGTGTACATCCAAAACCACGTCTCCATCTCCGATCCTGTTCTTCGAGATTGTGGTTGTGTTGCTGGCGTTTGTGTTTACGTGGGAGTTCCTGTAGTGGTTTTGAGAGTTCTGTAGATGGCTCCGGTTTGGAGGGAATGGTGGTGCGTTCTTTGCGCGTTGTTGCTGAAGAGCAATGTGGTGCTGCAGTAGAAAAACTCTGGCGACTTGCTGGAGTCTCTTCTCGTTGAGGCTCTGCTTGTAGCCAGGGCCATTGTGCTGTCGTGTGATCGATCCAGTGAGCTCTGGAAGAGAATGAGAATTGAGAGATACCGTGTGGTCTGGAGACGAGCTTGGCCGCCGCTCTAGCGGAAGAGGAGGATTTAGCACCGCAAGGCAAGTGTCCAGGCACTGATCCAAGTGCTCCACTCTGACAGTGTTCCAATCTTCTGTAGCCGCCACCATGGGCTCCGGCTGAGAGATGGCAACTTTCGCCCGAGCAGCTTCTTTGCGTCTCCTTACGAACCTTTGAATAACGGTGGCAGCCATTTCTCTTTTTAGAGACAATCTCCACGTCCTGTACGCTGCCTGGACCCTCGCTGCGCTGCTCTTCACCAAAAGGTAGCGCCTCCTTGTTTGCAAACCTCTGTAGAACGCTTGAATCGTAGCACCAGCAGCATGAGCTCGTTTCTCCTGTTCCAATTTTCTCCTTGTTTGCCACCCTCGGTAGAAGGCTTGAATCGCAGTAGCAGCAGCAGCAGCCTGATCTCGTTTCTCCTGTTCCATTTTTCTCCTTGTTTGCAAACCGCGGTAGAAGGCTTGAATCGCAGTAGCAGCAGCAGCCTGAGCTCGTTTCTCCTGTTCCATTTTTCTCCTTGTTTGCCACCCTCGGTAGAAGGCTTGAATCGCAGTAGCAGCAGTAGCCTGAACTCGTTTCTCCTGTTCCAGTTCTCTCCTCCAACGCCGGACGAGAAGCCCGCGAGCGTGTGCCTGGATCACGAGAGCTGATCTCCTTTCCAACAGCAGCGTTTGCTCCAGAGCTTCCAGCCTCCGCTCTCTCCAAGCCCGGAAACTCTGCTGGATCCTCGCGGCGGCTCTTTGCATCCTTCTGTAGCTACTTCGATCCCTCCACATCCTGTACGTTGCTTGTACTTTCACCACACATTTCTTATTGGCTATGGCCGACCTTCTAACCCTGGATCCTCTGTAGAGAGCCTGGATCCGGAGGACAGCCGCTTCTTCGCTCGCTGGCGGTGGCGCAAATGCGTTCGCCGGTACCGGCAGAAAGGTTGCTGGTAGCGAATCCGTGGAGGGAAGGAGACGGGGACCTCCAAATTCGAGCTGATTGTGGAGAATACCTGGACTGGAGCTGGTCCTCCTGGGAATGGAATCCCTGCGCAGCCAAGCGATTGTGGAGTGGAAGTTGAGAGCCGCTGGACACGGCCTGTGAAGGATTTGCCGCTGCATTTCCATCGGGATCGACAAATCGCTGCTCTCGGCGGACAAGAGATGCATACCCGAAGTGGAATAAAGATTCCGCTTGAGCCTCTCATGCTGGCTCGAACCCATCCCTGCGTATCAGTTGGATCGCACCCACCATAGCTTCGCTTTCTCCATAGTCAAGCAAGAACCCTAAAAAACTTTAATTTGTGCGGTAGGATATTCGTTATTGCCACGTGGGTTCGTCGACCTTTTACTTTGAAACCCTAAACTTTACATATCATCACTTTACACTGTGACACGACACGCTATCTCTACTTTCCATTCTCACTTTTTCTCGCGAGAAAGAAGTCGAATTGGAATGGCCTCGCTCGTCTGCGCTGAGCTTCCCTCCATGATCTCCTCAATTACTCTCCACAGATTCCAAGCTTTCGGGAGCTCCAGAACGAATCTAGCTCTTCCCAGGCAAATCTCCGCTCAGGTATCTTCCATTGGTAAGGAAAGTAGCAAATGCGACGAGATCCCAACCAGCGCTGCCGCTGAGAAGCGAGATCCGGCACCTAATTCTCCACCACTCCAACACCTCAAGCCGATGATCGCCACCAAGCTGTCCGAGCTGAGCAAATTCCTCTTCTCCACCCGGAAGAAAGGGGACCTGACCGATGTTCTTCTGATGAGCATCTCCATGGCCGTGTTCGTTTATATATCCCAGCAGCTCGTCTGTGTCTACTGCCTACTTCGTCACCATCACTTCGACCTCTTCTAGTTCGATCTGGAAGGAGATCGATAGATCTACAGCTGCGCCTCTTGTATATAACAAAGTAATCTAGAAAAACTATACTCACAAATTGTCGCGAAAGGAAGAAGCTATGGCGATCCGGCGTCGAGTGCGAAGTGGAGCAGGGGCTGCGGGCGCTTGGGAGGCAATTTCCGCAGGATGAAAAGAACAAGAACCGATGGTAAGATTTCTACAGCCTGAAAAAACAAAGAAGGAAAAGATACCAAAAATGAGAAGTTGCAAGGGAAAAGAAAAGATAGATACCCCGTAATAAATTGCGTTTAGGATGGGATGATCAGTGACATCCAGGCTGTTGCTCTTGCTGATAGCCGAGAACGCAACCTGTTGAAGAGGAGCTTTGGAGTGACGCTTAGAAAACATGTAGAAAATTCACTCACAAAAACAGATCTTATGACGAAGCAGATGGAACATATTCCTGTCACAGCTCCAACCTGGGAACGAAAGATGATCACGAGCGTTTCCAAGGTTTTCAACCATTGCTGACCTCACGGATTTTCTTTTCGCGCCCCTTGGACTCCACTGGAAACCTTCGAAGCATGCAATACAGGCTGGAAGCGGCAGAGTAGAGCATTACGTTGTTTTAGTCGATAAGAGTTAGACTCACCGTCCACCATAGAGCAAAAACCCAATGGCTGCTGCAAGTGAGATAGCTGCAAAGGAAAGAACAAAAACATTGTCGTATACAGTGCTTCCAAAGCAGCCACAAAGGAAATAAGTACCAGAAAATAGGATTGTCGACAAAACTTTCTCAGCAACTTTGGGAATCCAGAGCGAAACAATCCACAGAATAAGCTGGAAGTCAGTAGAGCACTACGTGAAACGAAGCATAAGAAAGTACAAAGTGCTTCACCTGAATGACGTAGACGCAGACATTGATCGCGACAAACACCGTGCGGAAGTGTTCCGCGGTGATACTTCTAGCCTTTGTACACAAAAACCCAATGAATTCTTCGTTTGTTCAGTCCTCGCTCACCTGGTGATATATATCGGCCCAAAACAAGATCAAGAGCGTGTACGTTGTGAAGAACAGGAGTCCAGGGAGATCGACAAGGATGGATTGCACCACCTACGAAAAAACAAAGAATGAAGAACACATTGTCAGGTGTAACTTGGAACATACCAGTGGAAGTGATGAAACCCGAGTCCACAGATAAAAAACTATGGCTCGAACTGTAGAAAAGTACGTGAATGAAACAGTCGATAGCCAGCGAGCAAGCTACGCACCTCCATTCACGACGAAGTTGAGCAAATGGAAGAGCTTCTGGATCGTCCATCCATACTCCGGGACCCTCCGCTCGATTCGAATCAATTGCACCTAAAGAAGGCAGAGTAAAACAAGAAGGGAGATTTCTTTTGGAGATTTCTTACGAGAGCCCAGAGCGAGATCGCGGTGTAGGCACCGCCAAGCGCAGTAAAGATCCATGTCTTGGATTGCGCCGCGTCGTGCCACCAGCTAGAAATCAGCGATGGCGGCAGCGATAGCATTTCTCGCGCGCCTCGAGGGGATTTCAGCTGGAAAAATGTAGCCACTAAGATCACGTTTCCTCGATCGAGCAAGAGACTCACCGAGAGCGCGAAGAGGAGGAGCGCACCGATCGATCGCAGTGCCGCCTCATAGCCCTGGGAATATTTTGCAAAGAAATTTATGCCACGTGGAGAGCGGCCATGCATAAAGATCCCATGGATATCTTTTTCGTCTTCATAGAATCTTCTTCGTTGCTTTTGTAAAGGTAGTAAATGGAGGAACCAGACTGGAATTTTTGGAGCTAGAGAGCTCTCTTTGGTTCCAATCTCTTTCCTCCACCTACATAGAAGAAATAAACAAGCAAATAGCTCTCACGTTATTCCACAAAAGAGATGGCCTCTCGCAGAGAGTCTCTCAAACGCTTTCTCTTACTCGTCGCTCACTCTCTCGCGCTCTCATTCCCTCTCACACTCTCTTCCAAGTCACTCACTAACCGATGCGTTCGTTGATTATATATGTATTGCTTGCGTCGCTCGTCGATCGTCGCGCTCTAACCAAATGGATTTCCCCCGGCCGCGGGTTGCACGGGGAAAGCACCGCCGTTCATGAAGCCTTGCGGGTTTCCAAACCCCCCGCGAGCTTGCCTGAAAAGAGAAGAACGAGATAAGAGAGTTTCTAGCTTGTGAAAGACGACTTACGGAGGTGGTGGCATCATATGACCAGGCATTTGCTGCGGAGGAAATCCTCCAGCACCTAAACACAAAGGTATTTGAAACACTTAGATCCCGGAAAACAGAGCTAGCCATTCTCTCTTGCCTTGCATCGATGGAGGGAAAGATGATGGCGGAAACGATGGCAGAAGTGACGGAGGAGGAGCCATTCCCGGCTGCTGCCAGTGTGGTGGTGGAGCACCTACGGGGCCTTGGTTGAAGCCAGGTAAAGCAGATTGGAGAGGAGCCATGCTTGGAAACTGTAAGATAAATCCCGCTTTGTCACAGCCAGTAAGAGCCAACTTAACGTACGCTTTGACTGGGATCGCCAGGCAGATCAAACGGATTGCTTTTCGTTCTTGCAGGTTGTTGAGCGTAAGGCATGGCTCCCTGGAGCAAATTCATCAACACGAGCACAAACTGAATTTTGATACGCATACCGGCGGCATGCCTGCTCCAAAATGGTGTGGTTGAGGTTGTGGAGGTGGGGGATATCTCATCTGCATATGCATTCCTCCTACATTGTAGGGAGGCATTTGCGGCGAGAAGAAAAGATCCTGCCGAAAAACAAACGAACTTAGCTAGCTAAAGTTGCAAGAAATATTTGGAAGTACCTCTGCAATTTCACGCCTCTGTTGTTGTAATCCATTAACCACTGGTGCTTGAGGTGGAGGTGGCTGAGGCTGGCGCTGTTGCGGCGGCTGAGCGCTCCATGTTTCCTGGGTGACAAGCCCGTTAGAAACTTTGTTCGCGAGAAATTGCCTTACCTGAACTGGTTCAAAACTCTGAACTGGCTGGAAGCTCTGGACTGGCTGGACTGGCTGGAAACTCTGGACTGGCTGCGAACTCTGAAAACCATTTGGTGGCGGATTAGTCCATCCTCCAGTCGACTTTCCCTGTACCGGGACTGGGACGTCCATTACTTGGAAAAAATCTGTAGGAGCCGGAGGTGCTGCGGGGACTTTAGGAGGAGATAAATCGAAAGAGGCCCATCCATCACTGGAGGAAGTTACGAGGGCGGGCTGCTGAGACGTAGCAAAGGGATCGAACGGCACGTTTTGGCTAGATTTCGGAGGCCCAGACGTAGCAAAAGGGTCAAAAGGTGCATTTTGTTTCGGAGGCTCCGCAGTAGTCGTGGCAAAGGGATCAAATGCTGTGTTTGGTTTTGGAGGCTCAGCAAAAGGATCAAACCCTGTAGCTGTGGTTGTGTCAGCTTTCGGAGGCTCTGAGTCCGCACTGAAGTCTATCAAGCTCTCCGAAATGGCTGGCTGAGGAGCAGCTACAGCTGCTTTTGGAGTTCCATTGCCCATCCCATCCAAAGACTTGAACGAACGCAAACGCCCATCGCCCTGCTACCAACAAAACAAATCAGTACAAGAGTCAGAAATACGAGTGATTACCTGTGAGCTGCTGACGGAATGAGGACTTTCGGTGTTATCTTCCGCTCGTCCGTTCGAGCGTGAGCCATCTTCCACTCGTAGTTTTGGCACGTCGTCTCCCAAGATGTCTCTGACAGATCGCATAGGAGGAGTTTCTCCACCCCTATAACTAGGCGGTCGATTGAATCGTTTGTCAAGGTCCTCCGATGATCTGCGGTTATCATCCCCCCTCCTTTGATCTTCATAACGTTCTCGTTCATCATATCTCCGGTCTCGTTCTTCGTATCTCCGATCATCGTATCTCCGCTCTCGCTCGTCGTATCGTCTATCATATCGCCGATCTCTATCATCATAGCGCCTCCCACCATCCCGGTCATCATAGTTTCTATCTCTGTCCTCATACCGTCGATCACGATCATCAAAACGCCTGTCTTTCTCGTCATACCGTCTATCTCTATCCCTGTCCCTATCCTTGTCAGCCTGGTAGCCCTTCTCGTATCTATCACGCTCATCAAACCTGGCAGGACTCATCTTGTCATCAAAACCCCGGTCTGAACCACGAGATACTGGTCTGTTAGTGTACCGGCGGTCGTCATTGCGATCATCGTACGAGGGACTCTGACCATATCTGGAGCGATCCGGCTGCTGTTTGCGAGAGTCAAATGTATCTTCTCCATCACTCTATACGTTTGAGACAAATGGAATTAAAAAAATGCAGCACAAAGACAAAAAGCATTCTTACCAATCGTCCTCTTCTGTCCCCAGAAAACCTTTTATCCACATACACAGCTCTGATAAAATCCCGAAGCTTGTCTGGGTTGCTGAAAAACAAACAGATCAAACACTAGGACAGCTATTAAGATCTCTGCAACCTTGTATCTGGCAGAGACTGCCGTGATGAATCCCACTCCTTGAGATAAGTTTCTCGTGCACGCTGGCAAAATACAAAGCATCATAAGCGCAAGTGTCTGTTTAAAACAGTTTCTCTTACTTGATTGCCACCAGCTTGCAAAGCAGACACTTCCGCTGGAGTGAAAGTCGCCATGGAGATCGACTTTACCCGGTGAGTGAATTCCCGGCTGCAAAACACAGCAATGCAAGGATGAAGAAAAAAAATGGGAAGAAATTCACACTTACTGGATCCCGCTGCAAGTAGTGCACACAAACACAGAGAAATTCGTGCAGACATACTGAGGACCCTGAAAAACAGCGAGAAACCCTTCGTGAGCCACAGATCCGCTTCAACAAGACAAAATTTCCTGCAGTAGCAAGGAATCTGAGACATACCAGGCTTCCGCAGTTGATGCATTTGCGATTCTCCGCGAGCTTGGTGAGGCCCCGGATAATCTTCTCGTTCTTCTCTTGCTCCTTGACCCGGCTCGCCATTGCTCCCCCGCCGCGCACTGCGTCAGCTCCCCTCCGGCATCACGCGAGAAAACCTAGCCCCTGGCAGAGAGAGTCAATGGCGCCCCACTGTAGCCGATGACAAAGGAAGAGGCGACCGCGCCAGAAAGAGAGCGACGGCGCGCTTAGCGCCTTCGGATCCACGCTCCTCGAGACGCCCTAAGATCTGCCACGCGCAACGAGGCCGCCATTTCAAGACATTGCCTTGATCTCCACAAACCCTAGAAAAACAAAAAAATGCAAGCTGTGGGTCTTCCTCGGCTATAACACTGCGCACGCACAAATCTCGGGCTCGAATCTCTTCTTCTTACCCTTTATTACTTTTTCCAAAAACTATGGGTACCTGGTTCGATTCCCGATACTAGACTAAATGGAAATGGGATTTCTTCTGTCTCTTTTGGAGAGTTCTTCGTCTTTGGAGCTGCGACTGATGATCGTGCTGGTCCGCAACTCGCACAGAAACAACGGGAATGCTGTTCCACCGCTCTTTCAGTGAGCTCTCGCTTCGTACGTGCATTTGCATATCCAAGAACACCAAAAGGGCGATCCAGCGGAGTGGCAGCACCGCTAGAACCAGCGGCAGTCCTCCCAGAATCGCTGATCGGCCGCCTGTAGAGAAAAAAGTCAACACCCATGAAACTCTGGAGCCGAGGCGCGAATCGTCAAGAGGAAGATGTTTGCCGCTTGGATCACACCGGCAGTACTAGTGTGCTTTGGCTGGTGGTGGGACGACGATCTCGTGGTCCCGTTTGCCTTTAGAGCTGTAGCGCAGCCAGGGAATGTACAAGACGATGACACGGAGAAGAAGCGGTGGAAGATATCGGACCCAATCTCCGCATGGATTAATAGCACAGCGACTCATGCCACGAGTGGAAAACAAAAATGACCTATGAAGTATATACGAGAAGAGCGGACAAAGCATTGCTGCCTTGAGTGGCTCCCTCCCACAGTTTACAGCAGGAATACTTAGCTCCTGTAGTTGCAGAAACGTATAAGAGAGAAAAATCATGGAGGTACCTTCATGAGAGCGACATTGGTACCGATTCCCTCAACTCTCACGCCTTCGATGCCTTTTCCAGCTGAGTGTAGTCGCCAATCACCACCTCTCCCGCGAGCGTCCTTGTCGAGAGCTGCGGCTCTGCTGCCTCTAGAACCATGTCTCCTCCGTCAGCGAAAAAGTGCATGACTAGGCTACGTTGCGAATGCTCTTGCAAACATGCTCCCACCTGAGATCACATCACACCTCGCGTTTCTAAAGAAAAGAGAAGAATTTCCAGGGTTGCCAATTGCCGCTGGTTATGGAGAAGAGCCTCTCGCTCCCGATCGACTGTAGAGTTTCTTAAGTTTCTCTTCCTCCACGATCTAAAAAACCTTTCTTCCTTCTTTGTGGTTTTCCAGGATAAAAGAGCGCTACTCCTCACAGTCTATATGGTAAGGAGCTCTTCTCCATCTTTCGTTCTTAAACTCTTTTTTACGTGATTGCTTGAAGCTGTGATTGGCTATGCGGCTCCGTGCTTGTTTCCTGCTCTATCTTCCAATGTTGGTAAGCCTTTTATTCCTTCATTGATCTGGCAATGTTGTGTGACAGTGTGCAGCCTTTACGTTCTGGATCTCTGGTGAAAACAACGTGGTGTGTGTGTGGATGTTTCCCGACTTACGCATCAATAGTCTCACGGTAACTTGAAAAGGCCTTCTGTACATGTTCTTTGGAGGTGTAGGAATGGACCTCATATTTGCTTTCACCAAAAACAGACTCAATACGTAAAGGTATTTGCATCGATTCTGTTTTCGTTTCTTCAAGGTGATGGCTTTGCAGGAGGCGACTGATTGAGGCAAGCTCTCCAACGCGAAGAGAGAGGTGGGAAGAAAGGACGGAAGTTTCGGAAAAATGTGAATCCAAGGGCCACTGCGCACAGAAACGGAAAAACATGGTGAGTTCGATTCAGGAGCTTGCCGTTTTTGGAGACGATGCTCGAGCTCTGAACCAGGCATTCCCACGGAGGGAGAAGGTACCTTTGTAGTTTTTCTATTAAGTTTCTTCTGTGGTGATTCCACTGCTGGGCAGACACATCCTGGGCTCTTACAGTTCAAGCTTGTTTTGGCATTCTCGGGTACGAAATATTTACGTTTCTCAACCAAGTCTTCTTGGGGTACTTGCTGTCGATGCCATTTCTAAGCGTGAATTCCTAGAATGTAGTGCTTTTCTTTTTAATGAAACTGTAGGTACCAAGGCACGCTCGTGAACTCGTTTCTTTTCAACATCATGGTCATCATACTTCTTATGCTCCACAAGGTATGTTTACATGGTTTCCAGCAAGCTCATTCACTGTTTGCAGCGATTAACTCGGCCGCGTCATATGCTTGCTGCAGATTCAACGTCGTCCAAAATTCTTGGGCTCCCTTTGCTGCGGATCAGGTTTCTTCCTGTTTGGGAACTAAGCTGTGCAGGCCAAGTTTGCTGTCGAGCGCGAAAAAGAGAATCTATAAGGAAGAAGTGTGAGAATTCGACACTAAATAATCATACTTAGCACCAGAAAACCACGATGGCACAGAGGGCTTTCTGCTATAGTGGTGCTCAGTATGATTATTTAGTATGATAATTTGTTGGGTGCAGGTCTTAGGTAACATAGCTTCTAAGAGGAAAGGATGCATGATGATGATCTCCTCATAGCAAAAGGGATAGGCGGCTTGATACTGTCTTCGCACTGCTTAACTTGGCAGGTATATCCTCTTTCTTTCTTCATCGACCTGTTTACCTCGCGGCTTGCCCACATGGCAATGCTTGAAGCTCTCCTAGTCAGCCATCGCCAGGGTTAGTGGAGTTCTCACTCGCGTTTTGTTGTCGTCCAGGCTGCTGGTGTTCATCACACTTTTAACGCTTCTGTTCCCGTGCCAGCATTTTGATGGTATCATTGGTTGGCTCGGGAGCAACAAAACATCAAGGCCTGTCGTTCCTAGCAAGGTCCTCTATACAATTGCAAAACTATCCGGAGCTAACGTGTAACTTGACGCAGGTACAGCCGCGTTGCAAAACATGCGTCGCAGGGAGGCCTCCTACACCAAAACCTGGCTCTTCTCTCACCCGGTTATGCAGCTTCTTATGAGAGATAAGTGCTCGATGAATCCAACGGTTGTAGATTGCCCGGCGAAAAGATCGATTTTGTTCCGGTGGCTAGAATCGAACACGGTTTCAACGTAGGCATAGGTATTGAAAGAAAAAAATAAGGTCATTCTAATGGAAGCGAAAAAGGTCAGGAGCGCAATCGAGAGGCTGCCGGATGAAGTTTTATATGATATCCTCTCGCGCGTGAGTAACAAAGGTGGCAAGGACTATGCCGGGTACTGCTTGGTTTGTAAGAGGTGGAATCGAGTTGGTAAGGAGGTTGGACTGGATGTGTCGATCGACTGCCCACTGGAGTGGCCGGCTTTCCAAGGAGGAGGTCTCGAGCTGGGTCGGATCCGGAGGCTTAGCATCGACATGTATTTGGGCAGTGATTACTCGTGGCTGGTGGGTTTAAGCGACAGACTCGAGGAGATCACTATAGATGGTGGCGTGTTGGAACCAGACAAGCCCTTTGATCTGGGGTGCCTTTTCAAGTGTTCTAAGCTCAAATACATGTCTCTAGCCAGGGTTGAGGTTCGTGAGATGGCGAGACATGGCTGTGGGAGCACTGAGAGGATGCTGGCGCTGTCATTTCCGGCCCTCACTTGCTGCATGCTCAAGAAGGTCGTTGGTGTTGAGCTTCAGCAGCTTCTGGATTCGTGTCCAAGGCTGGAAAGGCTGGAGGCGGAGATGTTTGGGTTCAATGGATTATTGCGCTCAGCAAGGTTGAGAGAGTTGCGGCTGGAGGCAGAAGCTGGCGGGGATTTTAAGTTGGACTTTCCAGATCTGGAGGCTGCTTTTGTAGGTGATTGCATGAAGCTGGAGCTGAAAGCTCCGCGTCTCAAGCGTCTCTCACTTGGTTCTTGCCAAGAGCTTGTTAGCTTGGACCTAGGCAGCCCACTGCAGAGTCTAGATCTCTACTCGTCTGGATTTCGAACGGCTGCAGCTGTGGACAGGAGACACTTTGCGTGCGTAAGGCTGAAAAGCCATGGATGCCTGACAGGAGGATATTGTGCGCACAAGGTTGCCAAGCTGATACTGGTATTGCCGCAGCTGAGGGAATGCAAGGAGCTGACAATAAGTGGATGTTGCGATTGCCATCCGTGGAAGTGTTCCGAGACGGATCAGTTGTTCTCCAGCCACGAGGTCGAGCTTCCATGTTACAAGCTGACAAAAATCTACATCGAAGACAACAAAGGCTCGGGGCTGGAGGAGATGCTGGCTTCACTTGTCAAGCAGTGTCCAGCATTACGAGCTCTCGAAGTGGCGGGCGTTCCTGATGAACAACTTCTAAACAAGTTGAGGGCGTCCTCGTGCTCCATTCTGCAGGAACGTTTGGACAGAGGGGTACAACCGAGGGCCTCTGCGGTGCAGTCAAGGAGATGTACACAACATGGCGACGGTTCCAAGTTAAGAATACGATTGCTCAGAGACTCAATCCAAGCTGTTTCCTGCAATTAAGACTCCCTTCAAAAAATGTATTTAGTCAAGTCATAGAGACTTTTTGTCTATTGTACGGTATTGTACGTTCGCTTAATACTTTAAACACTAGAGCAGTGATGGTGGAATTGCTTGAAGAATGCTTGCTTGCTTTTGTTTTCTACTCCTCCAAAACCAGGACTGGCTGGGGCAGAAGAGGTACAATACTTTTGGATCTCCAGCAGAAAGTGTGGAAATGAGTCCTACCAACGGATTGGCTGCAAGGAATTACATTAACCTTGACAGCTATAATGGTATTGAACCATGAGGTAATTTTTCTTATTGAAAAGATTTTATGGACATTCACGATGTTGCACCCCTGTCGCACTGTCAAAACACTAGGTAAGATGGATCGCTTCCGCCATCCCCCCAAAAGGAGTGATCGTATTTCTCCTATACACCTTTGTTAAGAAATGTATGTCTTGAGTGTGCTTTCGCGAACCAAAAAATGCAAGCCGCACAAATCTCCGGCTAGAATTCCTCTTACCTTTTATTACTTTTTTTTTTCTTTCCCGATACTAAACTTAACCGCCTAGAGGCTTACGAATGGAAATGGGATTTACAGACTTCACTTCGATCTTTTGGCTTACCTGGAGATCTTTCTTTGCTCGAGAGTTTCTTCGTTTTTGTAGCTACGACTGATGATCGTGCTCGTCCGCAACTCGCACAGGAACAACGGGAATGCTGTTCCACCACTCTTTCATTCTCCTGTTAAATCGCTCGGAGCTCTCGCGACGTACGTGCATTTGCCTCGTGAAGATGTCCAAGAACACGGCGAGGGCGATCCACCGGAGTGGCAGCGCCGCTAGAACCAGCGCCAGTCCTCCCAGAATTGCTAATACTTGATCGGTCGCCTGTGGAGAAAATCGGAAGTTACCGCCCATGGGTATGAAACTCTGAAGCTTACCTCTGGTTGAGCCGAGAGAAGCAAGGCGCGAACCTTCAAGAGGAAGATGTTTGCCGCTTGAATCACGCCCTCCAGCTGCGATATTGCTTGCTGCAGCGCCATGAGTTGCTCCAGTGTGCTTTGGCCTGGTGGTATGGGGACGACAATCTCGTGGTCCCGTTTGCCTTTGGAGCTGTAGCGCAGCCAGAGGATGTACAAGACGATGACGAGGAGGAGAAGCGGTGGAAGGTATCGGACCCAATCTCTGCAAGGACGGATTTTTAGCACGGCGACGCCACGAGCGAAAAAAAAACTCACCTATAAAATATATACGAGAAGAGCAGACAAAACATTGCTGCCTTGAATGGCTCCCTCCATGAAGCGACATCTTGAAGCCAATTTACGAAGTTTACAGCAGGAATACTTAGCTCCTGTAGTTGCAGAAACGTGTAAGAGAAAGAGAAAAGAGAAAATAATGGAGGTACCTTCATAATAGCGACATTGGTACCGATTCCCTCAACTCTCACGCCTTCGATCGTAGACTGCGCCAGTTCAACTTTTCTAGAACTGCTTCGAGCCTGCTGAACAGCCTTTTCCAGCTGAGTGTAGTCGCCAATCAGCACTTCTCCCACGGGGATTCCAGCGTCCTTGTAAGCATCCGTTCCCAGAGCTGAAAGTTCGGTCACGGCAGCACTGGAGAAGATTCGAGAGCCTCGACTCTCTCGAGAAATCTCGTTTTCTCCCTCTGCGGCTCTCTTCAGACGCTCTGCTAGTGCCTCTAGAACCATGTCTCCGCCAGGTAGTTCCTCCGTCAGCGAAAAAGTGAGTAAGGCTTCGGGATTTCTCGGAAGCATATGGTAAGCTTCCTTAGTCGCACGAAGACGTCCACATCCCAAAACAGCTCTGGCACGGGCTTCTGACCGTCCAACACCTTCCAGACTAGATGACCTTATGAACTGATGAGCCATGATAACCTCACGAACAATCGCTAGCCAGTAATCGCGACGAGAGTGGCCCGTCAACTCGGGAAATTCTATCACCACGGGGTCCGACCTGTTGTGATACTTTACCATCAGGATGATACAACGTAGAAACTGAATATGACTTACAAGTTCTCCGACTTATAGGTAATCGCCTTGTCAAAAAGCCGAGCTCCCCAAGGCCCAGTCAAGTCTGGTTTCACAGTATGGTGGAGATCAACAGATAAATCGTACTTTTTAGGTGCATCATAAGATACAACTCCTGCTGCTTCGAAGTACAATGCTCGATCTGTCAAAGTCAGCCGTCCTGCACAGAGCAACACATAAGATCCCTCATCATCAAACACAGAGAGTTCCTACCCGGCCAAGTTGACATATTAATATGCTGAAGAACTGGCTGAGTTGTGACTGTCCCATCCACATCTATGATCATCTCTCCTTTTGATAGACGCAGATTCGAAACGAGTGAAGGTGTTGCCAGATTTTTCATAGACTTGATCGTTCTGGAGGAAGAAAAAAGAAAACATAAAAGCTTAACTACAGAAACTAAGAAAACCAGCACCGACATACTTGTCCAGCTCTCCAATGTACTTGTCATATACAGGGAAAGGCAGCCGCCCCCCGGTGGTAGCAGTGAGTGCATCAAACTGGCAGTGTACTGTGATCATGTCTGCTACCACCGGCATGGCTGGAGCTAACCGGCAGAATGCGTCGGGGCCAACAGTACTCTCGACATCAACCTGTAAGCCAGCACTAGAATTCTTGTAAGAAACGCAAGAGAACGAAATCAGACATCTATCAGATAGCCACCAATAAAATGAAGACCCCTTTCTTTTTCGTTGCTAAGTCTACCTCTCCCAAGGAAAACTTCCCATGCTAAGCTGAAGTATAAGAGTGGAAGAAAGAAGACCATCATAGGCATCAGATCGGAATAAAAGAGCGCCGAGTCTTCCTCATCCTTGTCGCCAGCCATGATTCCTTGTTCCTTATCCTTCTGCCATTGGGGGTGAAGCTATTAGCACGAACTTCACCCCCTCTAAGCTTCTACAGACTAGACTAGTCTATCTACACTGAGAAATCCTACACTGCATGATAAAAGATGCAGCTTGATAAAACTACGTGAATCGTACCTGATGCGAAGCTATCGCAATGCTTGATCCTTCTGGTCCAGTTTCATGATCTAGATGCTCTCTATGCTTACGTGTAGCTGCTGGAGACAACACTCACCTTAACAGTGGGCTTATTCGCAGCTCCGGGAGCTTCCCACGCGAGCATCATATCGAAACTTAGACGGCGAAACTCCTTGTCACTCAGATGATCCGAGGTCTGCGTCGCCACCGACAGAGCTCGAAAGGAGCAGTACTCGAGAAAGTTTCGAGCATATCTTCCGGGCGTCTTTGCCGGCAGCGGAGCTTCCTCTTCGAAGCTCCGCTTGAGATCATCGATCTCGAGGAGAAGGATCCTACAGGACCAAGATCAGCCTTGAAAAAAAAAGAGATTTTTTTTCGCTTCCACTTGCCTCGCACAACGTCCCACAACAACATTGGCTAGAGGCGAGAGCTCCTTGATCCATTTGCGAGTACCTGATGGACTGTGCTCCAATTTCACTTGCTGGGCCTGGGGCGATGTCGCCTTGCTGCCGATTGCCCCAAACAGGCTCCTCATGGTGCTATCGGCCATGATATTCTCCACCAAACTCTTGCCCCTGGACAGCACAGCCATCGATCGATCGCTCACACATCCGCGAGCGCCGCGCAATCGCGGAGCTGCATCTCTCAAAACCCTAATCTCTCTCTCGTTTTCTTGAATTTAATTCATGTCGCGACACGTGTCAGTGCCACGCTCGTATGACATGCATGGGGTCGGGAAAAATTTACAGGCTAGAGGCCCAGTATCGTGTCAACAAATACTGAGCCATTGATTTCCTTTGGTAGCGATTGGAGGTCGATCGCCTCGCCCATGCAAACATCCACGCATTTTTGGAGCTCTTCCCTGTCAAAACGAAAGTTTTTGATCCAATCTAGAAACGAAGAGGCAAATTCAACACTACGTACTTTGAAAGAGGTTCTCCCTCCGTTTGAAGGAGTGTAAACAGGGTGTCTCGAGAGAACTTTCCCGTCGATAGATCAGCTCCGAGGATCTGCGAAGATCGTAGATAAGCTTTGGAAGCTGGTGTACCAAAATCACTTACGTTGAAAGCAACTTGAAAGAGTGACGCATTGTACTCGATCATCGACTTGTGGTTTGCGTAGAGCGTCACAAAGCTCTCAAAGTCGAGGCTGTTTGGCGGTGTCTGCTTGGCTCGCTCGCTGGCCGGGGACAAAACGAGCGTTACAAACAGGCAGAGAAGCAAAAGCAGTGCACTCACGAGGGGAGAGCGATTTCGTGAAGTATGTCGCGAATGTATGAATTTGATGGATAAACCCCCACCGAACGTAGAATGTCGGGAAGCTGCTCCAGTGGAGTTGTTTTATCTAGATTACGCTCGTCCAGGAAATCCTCTCCCTGAAATAAAAAGTATTTCACGTCTATTATGTGCTTATTTACCTGTGCACGGATCTGTGAGCAGAAAAACTGTTCCCTTAAGCTCTGCAGAATCATTCTGCCTTCGGCACCTGGTGGCAGCATTGGATAAGGACCTGCACGATTCCATTCGTCTTCCAGAGCAGTGTCAAGCAACGGCATGCTCACCCTCCAAACAATGACAATGCTGCCAGGAGAAAACTGATTTAGTGCTAGTTCAAAAAAAAAAAAAAAATCTTTTCCATGCCTGTCGATTCCCGCTGTCATAATATATTGTGAATCGTGCGATATTGCCATCGAAGTTATAGCACCGGCATGGGCTACAACACCCATAATGTGCAAGTTCATTTGATCGGCAGCTGGAAATGTTGTTATCCCGAGAATTTGTTCTCTGGTTACATATGCAAGATAATCCTGCAAGCCGAAGGGTAAGAGAACGTCATACATACATACTCGCATCGTACCTTTCCAGCTTCACCGCCAGGAAGCCTGACCATCTGGCTCACAGGATTTCCAAAGCTTGGACCAAGAAATGTTTTCTCGCAAATGTAGTTATCAGTCTCATAGACCCGCAACTTAAACCCTTCGTCGGTGACAAGCACTTGCACCTGAATAGCATACGCATGTAAATGTCTCCAGCGAATTCGAAGCCGAGACAGTTATACCTCTCCCGACTTTGGATCTATTGATGGAAACAATGACGATGGCTTCAGCAATGATCCGAGTTCCCACGTTCCCCTCAAATTAAGTCCCACATCCGTATCTGATTGAACTAGATCATACTCGACAAGCATGTTATCCTGTGAATGCCCGCCTAAACATCAATGCGTTAACAAACAAAAGTATATGAGTACCTGAGCAACAGAGAATAATCTGCTGAGACCCCGACGGTCCAGAATAAACTGCAAACCAACAATGGGCCTCGCATGAGACCTGTATTTACCAATGTATAACCACCTTCCGTCATCCTGATCGCGGAAACAAAAGAGTTCAAAAACTTAGAACTCCTACTTAATGTTATCAGAACCTGGTGTCTGCAGCTTAGCAGAGCGACAGCACAACTTCCATCTGCTGCTGCCAAAAGCGTTCCATCGTGGGAGAACGCGAACTGCAGTCAAAATAGCAGCGCGTCACTTTTTGGCAACGGCGATTGCACATTATTACCTTGTGAAGGGTAGATGACGAAAATGAGAAGCTCTGTATATCTACCAAAGTTTCTGCATTAACAAGCTGCGACGGCAAATAGATCATCAGCGAAACTACTACAAAAAGCGTTCTTACCTTAGCAATACCATTTGTGAAGCCACAAGCAATCAAGGAAGCCGTTGGGGAGTACTTGATTATTGAAGCCTGGCAATTGCATGGTCTGCAAAATGTTACATGACGGATTGGGACGACTTATTTGAGACTTGGAAATGACATTTACCTTAAGATATGAAAACTTCCTCTCGTTCACAAGCTCTCTTGTGCTATAATCGTGAACCTATTTCACGTGAAAATAACACCAAGAGTGTTGTATAGTCTAGCTAACAAACCTGAAACAATCCATCCGTGCTAATAGTTGCAAAGCAAGGCAGCAAAGGATGTCCAGTCATAGATTGAACAGTCTCTGGCAGGTATTCTGTTACCTCTTCACCCTGATAGAACAAACAAAATTCGATCGCATTATAATTATCAGGAACAACTGTACCTTGCATGAAGCAGACCCTGGCTGTTCCTCAAAAATACCAGCATGGAGAAGAAGAATGTGTGCCTTCCTTGTACCAACAACAAACGGAGGTACTTTGAGCGAGTTATATGCAACTTCATCTTCACTTTCTTCAATAGCAGAGAATGAGAGGGAAGTAACCTCGCCTGTAAGGAACGCAATACTCAATAAGATGCGTTTGAACAACAAAGTTACCTGCTGCTAGCTCCTCAAACCACCCAGTGAGACCTATTCTTGAATCATAAAAATGTAAATAGCCATCTGACCCTCCGGTTGCAACATACTGCTTGATTGTTGTCATTACTAGAATTGCCGAGTTGTGAAGCTTGATCACTTTGGTAGCTTGCATTGTCCTTGGCTTTGGATCTTCCGAATCATCTGAATATACAGACCTGCAACGCCTCTCAGTCAGCGAGCTAGATGGCTCTTTTGGTACGATGCTTACTGCTCCCATACAACTACATCGCCATCAGTTGTTGCAGTTATAGCGAATGCGGTATTCGGTACAAAGGTTGTGACTGTAAACAATCCAACCGCTTGTTTCAACTCCGCTGCCTTTAGAACAGCTTTCAGCCCCTCCAAAGATCCTCTAGCATTCTCCTTCTGCAGAACACAGGATTTTTTATCTCCATCAATACAAACTAGCTACTAACCTTGACATGCCTCCAAAAGTAAACACTCTTTTGTCCATTGGTGACAAGCTCAGTTTGATCACCCCCATTGAAGCGCACGCAAGTCTGAATGTAAACACGAGTAAGAGAAGTTTTCTCAGCTGCAAGACAAACTTACTTGCGGTTTTTTGGAGGCCACAACAGCGGCAGCAAGCGGCTCGCCATTAGAGATCTCAACATCCCAAATGCAAAGCACCTGCTTGGAACAGTATTCTGCAAGCTGCACCTTGTAAAAAAATTGAAAAGACAATTGCTAAGCTACGTTGGTATCGTACCAGTGTCGCTGAGGGTAGCAAAGAGCGCTCCATCGGGAGAAATATCAATTGCTATAACTCCACCACTTATATCTTGTGCTACTGCTTTCACAGCCTACGAAGCAAAAATTCCTATCCAAAGAACTCAAAAAGAAAAGCCATACCTGTCCGGTGGAAGAATCCCAGATGATAATCGCGGCGTCCGGGCCACAGTCTGCCGATATTATGTTGCTCTTGTTAGGAGTTGGAGCTAAGCATTTGATCTGGTGGATGTGTCCTTGCAAGATTGTCTACACGCACAGCAAGATCGCTGGAATCTAGAGGGAAAATCGATCCAAATACCTGGCGATGCGAGGGACAGTGATGAATAACGATCGCATTCCCAGCGGCATAAGCTACGCAGTCGCGATCGTTCGTCCTAATGTCCACAACGCCACAGATCACACTGCTCGAAAATCCATAGACGCGATGGATGTCCTAGAGGATCCATCACTATGGATGTCAAAGAGGATTGATCGATCCAGGGCGCGCTTACCAGAGCCTGTGGACACTCCATCCGGCTCGAGCAGTTAGGGCTCTGTTTCGAGCGGGAAAACACTCCCAAGTGCCCTATAATCGACGGTTTAAGATCGTCGTACGAATCGACGAGCTGGAGTGGTCCACGTGGCTGATGTTCATGTTGACCTAAAAACTGAGAGAAGCATTACACTGTGGCAGGGAAGCAGGAGCGCCTGGGCGTTGCGCCGCGACTCTGGATCCAGGAAGAGCTTCGCGAGATCGCCAGCAGCTAGCGAAGCTCTTGAATCGACGCCGCGCGTGATCCGTGGAGATCTTTGGCGCGGGTAGGGTTCGTGTGTGAATGGAGTCGGCGATGGCGGTGGACGTCGGTGTTCTTGATCCGGAGCTGCTCCAGCTGCCGGATTTGCCCTCTCCACCCACAAAGCCTGTCGCGTGTAGAATGCGGCTGGAAGATCTCTTCACGCAGTGGCTCTCTTTGCCGGATACACATCGACTGGTGAGTCACTCCACTAGAAACCATTTCACGAAAGAACTTTTCTTGCGTAGGTGCTGTCTTTGCTAGAAGATGCCAAGGCAGGACTCGTGCTACCAGTTCCATCTTCCAGTCCAGGGAATGGAAATTCCGGGGGTGCGATGTCAGCTCTTCCGGGAATGTTTGCTGTTGGAAGCACACCTCCATTGTCTCCTCGAAGCACCTCGGGCTCGCCACTTTCACCCAAGTCTCCCATGAAAAGGACTGGAGCGAGTACTGGTTCTCCATTAAAACGAGCTAGCGAACCGATTAGAGAACATATCCCTCAAGTAAGTTTCTTCTTTCTTTTCGTCTTTGTTCTTCTCTCCCTTTTTTTCGCGAGAAACTCATGAAAACTCTCTTTTTTTCGGCAGTTCTATTTCCCAAATGGTCCTCCTGCGCCGCAAGATATGGCGGAGCAATGTCTGAAAAGGATTGATCAACTTTTTGCGGGGCATTCTTATGGTTTGCCATTGTCAGGTTCATATCGTCCTTATTGTTTAATTGTCTATATGGTTTTCTAAGGTACATGTCTTCTTTAGCTTTTGCGCCTGTGACTAAGGAAGTATGCAAGCTCCCTTCCTTTTTTTCTAGCTGTTTGTTCAAGAAGATTGATGTGGAGGACACGGGACTTGTGACAAGGTTAACGGCATTGTCGTGTTGGTGTTTTTTCCTTTTCTCTTTTTTCCTAACTCGCCCGCATCTTCATGATTTCAGGGACAGGTTTATCGAGTATTGGCTTGAACAGAATATGCTCACATCAGATATGGCTTCTCGTATATTCAACGTGTTAAAGAAACCTGACAAGAAGTATATTACTCAGGTAACTTTAGCAGCCGATATTCTTGAAAGCATAATTGTATCGTATCTCCAGGAGGATTTCAAACCAATCTTGAAGGAGCTTTTGATGACTCACCGCGGTTTGGAATTTCTTCATGACACTCCTGAGTTTCAAGAAAGATATGGTTGGCTGATTTGTTTAGTTTTTTTTTTTGTTGTCGCTCAAATCATTCTTTTTCTTTGTTTGCTTTTGTTCTTTTTGTTCGCAGCCGAGACAGTAATGTACAGGATATTCTACCATGTAAATAGATCTGGAAATGGAAGGCTATTGCTAAGAGAGTTGAGAAGAAGCAACCTTGTTGCAGCACTGCTTCAAGTAGACGAGGAAGAAGACATCAACAAGGTCCTAAAGTAAGTCCTATTCGAGATACAATATGTTTTTGCTGACAGTGGGATGCTAGATATTTTTCCTACGAACACTTTTACGTTATCTACTGCAAGTTTTGGGAGCTTGACACGGACCACGACTTCTTAATCGACAAGACTGACCTTTTGAGATACGGCAATCACGCTCTCACATTTCGTATAGTGGAAAGGATCTTCTCACAGGTAACGTTTGGCACTTTCCAAAAGAATGATCTTTCGAGTTCTCGGTTCCTCTAATGTGCTTCATGTTTTTAGTATTTGTCAGGTTCCAAGAAAGTTTACGAGTTCCGTGGAAGGAAAGATGGGTTACGAGGACTTTGTGTGGTTCATTTTATCGGAGGAGGACAAAACGTCTGAACCAAGCTTGGAGTACTGGTAAGCGACGTCTTGAATCTTCTGTAAGATCGATCGATTGACAGATCGCGACTTCCAGGTTCAAATGTATCGATCTGGATTGTGACGGAGTGGTGACTCCAAACGAGATGCAGTACTTTTATGAGGAGCAATTGCATCGCATGGAGTGCCTAGCTCAAGACCCCGTCCTCTTCGAGGACATAGTCTGCCAGATGACGGACATGATCTGCCCAGAGGTGCGTTAGCTGTTTGTAGCTTCCGGGCTCTCGTCAATGCTTATGTGATCGATTGCAGAAGCAAGGGCAGCTAACGCTACGCGACCTGAAGAGGTGCAAGCTTTCTGGCAACTTCTTCAACATTCTCTTCAATCTGAATAAGTTCGTGGCGTTCGAGACACGCGACCCATTCCTCATCCGACAAGTAAGAGTTTACTTTGAGATGGTTTCGTTCACGGGAAGGCTCTTGACTCCCGTGTTTCCAGGAGAGGGAGGATCCAACGCTAACAGAGTGGGATCGGTTTGCTCACCAAGAATACATCCGCTTGTCGATGGAGGAAGACGCGGAGGATGCATCAAATGGAAGTGCCGAGGTGTGGGATGAATCTCTAGAGGCGCCATTTTGAGTGTTTTGCGTGGTTCTGGTTTCCTTTTTCTTGGGTAGGAAGGTAGCTCAGGCAGCAGCAACAGTGCTTTGTACAGTAATTCTTCGTTGTCTCCATTATATCTCTTCTTGGTTTAGAAAGCTCTTAACGCGTATTTGATCGATTCCTGTGCATACATCACCCATTGCTTGTAGTTGCGCTAAATGACGATAATAATGATAATATCAATTTAAGACGTGTGTTCACCTCGTGTCTGCAATAGGGAACAGACTTCTTTGCTGAGAACTCACTTTCTCTCTGCACAGACATGGGTGCTTCAGGCTCAAAAGCTAGTGTGAGGATTGAAAACCAGACTAGCCATCCTCTTGTTCTGCGCGACAGATTCAGGACGATCTACGGGCAGGCGTTTGGGGTGGTGAAGCCCAACAGTGTGAGGCCGCAGAATGTGTTGATCAGGATCCCATCGCGCACTTACTTCCGCGTAGCCATCCTGCTGCTGGAGCCAAACGGAGACGAGCTGCCCACGGGCCTGCACATCGACCTGAGCGACCTCGTGTGTCCAGCAGATTCCCGGAAGAGCTTCCGCGTGACGGAGGAGGAGCCCAACGTTTTCCACCTGCGCGATGGCTCCGGCGAGGAGATGAAGACGGGCCGGGTGCTAAGCGGTGAGATACTCTATTCCAAGTACACTGGCACCGCCACCACGCCCACGCGAAACAGATCAAGTGCGGGAGCTTTGATTGGCTCGACAGCGTGAGCAAGACGGGAGTGAGTTCGCTTCTTCTTGCTCATACTCTGGCTTGAGATCTTCGTCTCGATCTATGGAGGAAACACAAAACTAAATAAACCCAGTGTATCTGTGGATGCTTTGAAATGATTAAGCCCGCGAAGTTTGACTTTTGGTAGTGTCGATCAGGGTAGTGTCGCTTTTTTCTTGTTCTTCGCCAAGAGCAAGGATCGATGGGAATGTTGAGATTGTCCGTCCTCTCCCCCAGTAACAACTGACATTGGATTATCAAAAAGATGTTCAATGGTGTGAACATGACGACGCGGTGTTTACTTTGACTTTGTCATGAGACCAGGTCACTCATCACCTCATAAGTAGGGTATGATCAGCTTTTCATCGACAAACCTTCTCAGAATGGAACCCAAGGACCACTTTGAATTTGTTATGAGACCAGGTCATTGTGTGATGTTGTGCGCCGCCGAGCCATTCGCTAGCCGGCGAGTGTCCAAAACCTATATAAACAAAGAAAAACAATTCTTTCTTTCACTGTACCAAAACAGAAACCATACCATTTCTTTCTATTCCAAATGGCACAAGCCAACAAAGAAGCTAGGACAAGTCCACTCTCATTTTTCTCCAGAACAGTGTTAGCGCTAAGAAAAAAGAACCGAAGTCGAATTACCTGGTCAATTGCATCGTTCTCTCCATGAATCTCGAAGATACAAGTTAAAGAAACATTTAGCTTATCCTCTTTCGAGTATTAGGGTTTATAGTTTTGGAGGGAAAACACGAGGCTAGAAATCCCTGAAACTCATCCGGGGATCTTGGTGCTTTCCTCGCCCGCCACCTCTCCCTCCACCCCTCCCTCGCCCTCTCCCTCGTCCTCTCCCCCTCCCCCTCCCTCTCCCCCTCCCTCGCGATCGCCCAAAGCTCTTGCCGTGCTTCATCACCACCAGAGACTGCAAGAGCTCGTCGCAGACCACGCACGCCGTGTGGAGCGTCCTCCCGCCCTCCAGCGGCGTGTTGTTCTTGTGGAAGTCCACCTCCAGGAGCGCCGAGCCACAGTCGTCGCAGTAATCGTGCTCGCTCCTCGACACCTTGTGCGTGTTGGCGGGGAGGTAGACGAGGAAGCTACACTTGTTGCAGTCGAGCCTCCACTTTGGCGCGCTGATGGGATCCAGGATGAGCGTTCCATCGCACTCGGGGCAAGCGCACACTCCCTGCTGCATCACCGAGTGGCGGCACGTCGCGTGAGGACACATCGTGCATGGCATCCCCGCCCCTGTGGCTGCTCGTCCCCGTCTTGTGTTTGGATTTCCATCGCCAGGAGCAGTGCCACTGGCTTGATCATCGCTGGAGGTTGTGGCCTCGCTGCTCGGGTCTCTTGCTGGAGATTCCAGAGGGTGATTGTAGCAGTAGGGACAGAGGGGATAGGATTTCCCGTCGGGTCCTCCGAGGGAGAACAAGACGAGCTCGAAGTTGTCAAGTGGACAAGCTAGCTCCTTGTAGAGCTGAGGAAAAAAAGAGTTTTTTCTTAGCGTGTCTATTCCCTGGAGAAGGATTACCTTGATGGAACCATTTTGCGGGACCGGGTATACTTCCTCGCAGGTTGAGCAGTAGAGACGAGATGGCCGCAGCGTGATGTATTTCATGTAGCGCTTGCATTTCCCACACTTGCTCAAGGGCCGTCCGGAGTCCGCGAGAGGAGAGAAGTGAGCCTCGAACAGAGCGTCCATCTTCTCGATCTATGGAGAGAAACAGTTGAGAAACTTAGAAAACATGGTGCTTGCCTCGGACACGAAGTTCTTGAACTTGGCGACGAACTTGTCCAGCGAGTTGCGCACCACGGTTTCGTGATCCACCTGACCTTTGGCAATCAGCGTGATTTGCTGCTCTATGAAGCTCCGGATGTCCGGGAGGCATAAATCCGCGTCGATGGTTTGATAGCCTCGAATGAGTGTTATACCGAGAGCAGTAGGCACAAGGCGCCTTCCAGTTTGTACCTTCGAGAAAAATAGAAGAAAAAAAAACACATTTTTAAACAACTCAAAAACAGAGAGAAAGAAAGAAAGAAGAAAGAAATCTTCTTTTACCTGTACGTAGTTTCTCTGGCATATGTTGTTGATATGCACTGGAATGGACGCGTCCGTACCAATCCCATGCTTCTCCATCAGAGATATCAGGTCGCTCTCAGTCAAGTAATCAGGAGGAGAGGTTCTTCCCTGACAAGACCAAGACGAGAATAAAACAATGGGAAAAGCTTTGAGATGGTATACCTGGTAGAGCTCAACCTCTGAGCAAGGAAGACTCTCGCCAATAGTAAACGCAGGAAGATTTTCGTCCGTGACAGCCATCCACGGCATAGCTATTGTGAATCCCGGCGATGTCACAACTTTCCCCGAGCAAGTGAAAACCTCGCCTCCACCGGAGAAGGTAACTTTCGTCCTGCGTTCCTCAAGCTCAGCAAAACTAGAAGAGAATGAAAAATTCTTAGCTTACCGCTTATACTTGCAGTCCGGGCTCACACTCCCAAGAAAATGCCTGGAGATGTAATCGTAGAGCCTCCAGGCATCTCCTCCAAGCTCGGACTCGGTCCCGGAACGCATTGGAGTGATTGGAGGATGGTCGCCAGCGTCGGTGCCGGACTTTGGGGCTCGAACGCCAGCAGCTATCAACGATCGAGCGTAGTCTCCAAAGACGGGATGGTTTCCCAGTGGAAGCAGTGACTCCTTTACGTCAAAACTCGCCGGGTAGGCTGTGCTCTCGGTCCGGGGATAGCTGTTAGTTTATTCATGAGGACAGAAGAGCGAAGAAGAAATGGCAAACCTTATGTATCCTTGGACGTAGAGACGCTCCGCAATTTGCATGGCGTGGTGAGGACCCATGCCAAGAGCTGTCGAAGCAACCTATCGAAAGAAAACGAAAAAGAATGGTAAGTATGTGGAAATCTATCATATGGAGCGAACCTTGAGCATGTTGACAGTGTTAAGTCCTGTTGGACGAGCCTTTCGCTCCTCTTTTTGTGAAACATCGAGGACTTTCAGAGAACCGCTTTTGAGCACCGCTTTCTGAGGGACTAGAGCTGTCTAGAAAACACGCAAAACTTCATACCAGAAGTTGTGAAGATGAAATAGAAGCCTTGCACAACTTACTGCCTGTTCGAAGACTCTCCCGCGCTCCCAGTCCAGTTGCAGCGAGTGTCCACCTTTGCTCAAGCGCGGATGCAAAGTCCAGAATGGCTTCGGAACGAAAGTGATGATCTGAGTGTGCCGCTCCACGCAAAAACCAAGAGTTGGAGTCTGGCAAGGTCCAAAACTGTTGTGAAGCAATGAGAAAACACAACACGAGAAGACCAACTTACGAGATGACGCTCGAGTCCAGGTTGCCGTATTTTCCTTGAAAGAAACGAGTCTGGAAGCGAGTGAATGCCACTCCAACTTTTAAATCGATCTCCTGCCGAGCATCTACCGCAAGCGCCTCGTTTTGGTTTGGCTCAACCAGGCTGCTCATGGCAGTCTTTACATCCTTCTCGCTCACAGCGGAGAAGCGAGCTCTGAACACTTGCTGTCCGGATCGTTTCTTCATGACAGGCAAAGCATTCTCCATAACTAGAAAAAAAACAAAGATGTCTCTAGAAAGAAAAAGAGAAAACCAGTAATAAGAACCTTCAAAGCAGATGTTTTCTCCTTCTCGGTCGCAGTCGAGCCACAAGACAAGGGAGTCGCAGCCGCGAGCTTCTTGCCTGAGATGCTTGCAAACGTGAGCCTGAAAAGCAGACCAAAGGAGAAAAAAAGAACAGGAAGATCACACAGTAAGAATAAGTTCATTGCCGAGTGAGGTTACCTTGGGATTTGCTTCGTTTTTCAACGTAGGAGCTCCGAAAAGATCCAATGGATCCGTCAGCTCCCAGTTCTGATACTTTGGAGGAAAATCAATGCTGGAAAATCCAGAAAGCTAGTGAAAAGAAGAACAAAGAAAACGAAGAACGACGGTTTCTCACCCATAGACATGACCAATGACAGAAGTAACCTTGTAGTGCGCTTGGAAACCTCTAAACGTTCCATCAAACTCGTGAACATCCAAGTAGGATTTCCTAGTGCTCATCTGAAGAAAATAGGAAAAGATTCAAGCATGGAATGAGAGAGCGAAAACTTTGAGAGACAAAAACTTACACGACCAGAAGAGAGAAACGAAGCCAGCATTCCGGCAATGCTGGGCTTCTCCGCCACCTACAAAACAAGAGCCCATCACCCAATCGAGAGACAGAACGGTTCTTTCACATACCATGAGGACGACGGGCGCCATCGCTTGCTTAAACCCTACCTAGACTTCCAAGGCGGTCTAAAAAACGTTTATACTCGCGAGGTCACTTCTCCCGAGTCTAAAAAACTCCTCATCTCCTCTCTTATGCTCGTGAGCTCTTCCACCACTTCTCTCATCTTGGGTCTATTCGCTCCACACTCGGCCAAGCACTTGTCCGCCAAGGCGGCCACCCTCGCGACGCTGCAGCGCTCCACCGCGCTCACCACTCCCATCTTGGGATCCACGAGCTCCTCAATCATCTCCATCCTTATCAGCGGCAGCGAGTAGAAGGCCAAGTTCACCCTGCTCGATTCCCTCCCAAAATCCAGCGGCTTTTGCCCCGTCACGAGCTCCAGCAGCACCACTCCAAAGCTGTAGACGTCGCTCTTGTCCGTGAGCCTGAAAGTGGTCATGAGCTCCGGATCGCAGTAGCCTGGAGTGCCTTGGATCCGGAGCGTGGAGACGTGCGTGGTGGCGGCATCGCCAGTTCCAACGAGCTTGGAAATTCCAAAGTCGGCGACCTTGGCACTCAGGCTATCATCCAGGAGAATGTTGGACGATTTCACGTCGCGGTGGTAGATCGGCGGTGCCGCCACCGAGTGGAGGTACGCCAGCGCCTCCGCGGTCTCGATAACAATCTGCAGGCGCTGCTCCCAGCCGAGAGGAACCACCCCTCGCTTGCACTGCAAGTGTTCCAGCAGCGTTCCATTGGTGACGTATTCGTACACGAGCAGTGGAGGGGCGTTTCGGCGAGTATCCATGCACCACCCTTTGAGCTTTACCAGGTTCCTATGGTTCACCTGGGAGAGAATGGTGATCTCGTTGAGGAACTGCTCGTCCATGACTCCAAAGTTGGCGGAGCTTTTGCTGCGTTTGATGGCAACCACGGTGCCGTCTTGCAAGATGCCCTTGTAAACCGTGCCGAATCCACCGCTTCCCAGCTTGAACCCCTCGTTGAACCCTTGGGTTGCAACGTGCAAGTCCTTGTAGGAGTAAATGTGCCTTGCCTCGAAATCGTTCAGCCTTTGTGCGAGATGGGAGCGTTGCTGTAGGTTTTTGTGCAGTCTGAACCTGTAGACGTACTTACAGCAGCAGCCGAAGATCAGCAAGGAGCATACAGCAGAAGCTGCACATAACCGATTAGAACATAACCTGGATTAAAAGTTTTAATACCTGATATTGCAGCGATTTTTCTCTGTGGATGCCGGCTCAGGGGCAGGGACGTTGGAGGCTGAGAAGTAATCACATCTAGAAACATAACAAAGAGACCATATAGAACTTGAATCATGAAATTGAGATGAATTCACCTTCATCATCTGTGATGCATAGAAAGAAAGTTGAATTGTAGCCCGTGTAGCCGCAAGTCCCTCCCGACTTCACACACTCCGCACACTTGAATGCACGCCTAGAATCTACGTACCAAGACACTCTGTTGTGCACCGGCGAGCCGGAACGAAGTTTGGGCTGCACGACTCTGAGAAATTGTTGAAATAGATGTCCGGGAGGAGATTTCTGATGGAGCTGGGGCTCCTTATCTCGAGCTTTCTATCGGGGTAGAGAATGGTGAGGGGATAATCAGCGCCATTGTTGAGAGTTAGCACGAGAGTGTTGCCAGTGCACTTGAGCAAGTGAGAGGGATCTCCGCATCCAAATTGCAATCCAAAGGGATAGTGCACATCTTGAATTCCGCAGGAGCTCGCACATTCTTTCGCGGCGCTACCAATTATTGTCATAATTCCCTGGTGTGAGAGCACTATAGTGAGCAGCAAGAGATTCATTCTCTTCCCGTTTTTTGAGAATGTAGATGACTTTGAGCCGTGATAGGCACGGTGTCATGTGTGTGCTGAACCTGTCAGTGTTAAAAAAAATTATATATAATTCTACTTATATTAGTTTTTTGGCTTTTCCACTCATTACCTAGAAAAGGTAGCATTTTGGGTTTTTTTAATAAATATAGTTTCTCTAACTGGGGACAGATTTTATTTTGCCCTAAATAAATTCAAAATTATATTTATGTTTTTTAAGCTTAGTGGGAAAATGGCAGGAAAATTTCATAAAAATCAAAATGTTATATGAAATATCCACTATAAAGTATGTTTCATCTTCCATTTCAAACTCATTTTAAATAAATATATTTTTCTTTAATTCAACATCATTTTCTTTAATCCCCTTATGTCTCTTTATTTTCTGTTTTAAACTTTAATCCATTTAATTTTAAAATTTAAAATTATAAATTACCTAATTTTAATGTATCCAAACTCCAAGACATTCAATTTTAAAGCATCCAACAATTAAAAAAAATTAGGCCAAAAAAGAAAAGAAAGGTAGTGCAAGAGAAGGTAAAAAAGAAGAAATTAATAATGAAAAAGGGAAATGGGTTAAATGGAAAAATCATTGAGTGTTATAATTAAATCTAAGATAGAAATGAATTCAAAAATCTTATTTATCCTAAATTGGTATAATGTTTATCTAAACTTTGACAAAGACTTTATACCTTGTAATAACAAATGAAAACAAAATGTAAAAGGATTGTATGTAAAACAAAACTCACAATAATATTTTTGGAAATAATAGGTAATTTTTTTCCCTTTAACAATATTTCTTTCCTCTCTCTCTATGAATATATATATAATGTATATATTTATTATTCTTTATAAATATATATATATATGAAAATATAAATTTTATAATACCATAAATGAGTTTTTCTCAAATAAACCTCAAATGAAGAAAACTATCTATATTAACTTTATTAAAAAGCTATTGAAGATGGTAAACATAAAATTGTTACTGATTACATAAAGTTGGACAACACAAAAGGATTAAATACTTAATACAAAAAGGTGAAGATGGAAAATGATAATGAATATTATCATTATATAATGAATAATATGATTGAGATTATCAAGAATATAAAAGAAAAAATCATCAATCACATAGAGTAGCATTTTCAAATTATGAAAGTTATACAAGCTTCCTTTAATACTATAGTGAATATGCTTTGAAATATTTTATTTGCCTTTTTAATTTATTAAAAACTAATTTAATCTTTATCTTCTGAAGAATAAATTCTCCTAAAAATTGATCATAAACAAATTGCTTTGTTTAAATTTTAAATAACATTTATGCTTGAGCATCACAACATTCAATATTTTTTAATACTTCTTCACTAGCTTTAAATTGATCAAAACTATCTAGTGCATATTGTAATTTGTCTCTTAACATCTTGATTTATTGCTTTGATTTAATGTAATTCATATGTTGTTGCACAATTGATTTTTTAGAACTTCTACTTCAAATGATTGAATACATTATAATGCCTCTTTTTCATATTGAATCAATCTCATCAACTCCTCTTTAGCTTAATCAATCCATGAAAGATCAAAACTATCACCATAATTTTTACATAAGATATAATGTACAGTGATGTGATCTTTGATATTATCAAGTCTTGAATTATTTTGTTTCAGAAGAATTTGGGACTTAACAAAAGTCATCTTTTATTAGTTATAATATAAAATAAAATTACTTGATTTTAACATGCAAAAATCTCTTTCTTCCTATATTTGATTGAATGAAGTTCTAATTTTGTTGGCATATATGCTTAACCCATCTTTCAATCCCTTATATAGACTAAACATATATTGGTGGATAAGTTGCATCTTTTATTGATATATATTTCCTAAGGTGTCCTTGCATAATCCTTAAACCAACAACATATTTATGAAAACTAACTAATTGTAACAACTACCAGCCCATCTAAAATTTAAATCCCAAATCAAACATCTTGCAAAAACCATAATCTATAAAATAACAGAGTAAAACCCTTTCTTGTTAAAATATTATTATAGCTCTTTTGGTAAAATAATTTGTATATGGCTTTCATCAATTGCTCCAATTTGCATTTGATTAATAGAAGACTATTTGATACAAAACTTGCTAGAATTAATATTAATTCATTTATAAAATTACAATTTAACTTGTTATGCAATAATACCCTACACTTTACTTATTTGCTATTTTTTCAGATGATATTCTTATTTCAGGCAATAACAAGATTAGTCTCTACCAAAATAACCCTTCAAATCCTAGTATCTTTAATAAACAATCACTTAGATAGTCTTTCAAGAAACAAATTGAAATTTATTTTAGACTTTTATGAACTCATACCTCTAAAGAGTGACAATATTTCTTCCTTCTTACTTGCTTAACATCCATAATTGATAAATTATGCCACAACTTCAATAATATAAGATTGCAATTGGTAAGATCAAGAAACAAAACATTGATTTGATAGAACAAGAGGGTCGTAAATAGGAGTTTTTATTTGAAATCTATTCTTTGGAATTTCAATTGTCAAATCCTGTGATATTAATTAAGCAAGAAAACCACTAATAGAATAGGCAGGCAATAAGGTTTTTGGAAAGCTTTTTTCTCACCTTCACATCTTCTGGTATGAAGTTTTGCGTGCTTCTCTAGACAGCTTTCCTCAGAAGGCGCTCAAGAGCGGTTCTCTGAAAGTCCTCGATGTTTCACAAATCGTCCAACGGGACTTAACCCTGTCAACATGCTCAAGGTTTGTTCCACATTACATACTTAAAGATTCTTTTTCGTTTTCATAGGTTGGTTCCACAGCTCTTCGCATGGATCCTCACCACGCCATGCAAGTCGCATAAGGTTTGCCATTTTTTTTTTTGCTATTCTTTCCTTCTCCTAATGCCGTCGCTGAACAAGCCGCACCTGCTAATGGCGAAACCAACGCCAATGAGGAAAGATTACACACTGGAGAGTAAGTATTTCTCATTATCTACGTTGGCAATATTTATTTCGATAAGCTACTTACCAGGTACAAGTTTGCGGTGTACTAGGGGCGTGGTTGATCATGCTGGTTTTCAACTCGTTCTTGATTGTCCTTCCGGTCTCCGTTGGGCGTGCCATTGTCACTTCGTTATCTCGCCTTCCAATCACGAGGGGTGCACACTACAATGGCATGTCACACAGCTCCGGTAAAATGAGAATCTTCTGTCAGATCTGTATGCGTTTAATATCGGCTGCTCGTCATCTGGGCGGCAGCTGCAGCCGTCCATAGTAACTATTTGAGGTCGCATAAGTTCTCAAGTGGTCAGCCATTGTGTTGAAGAGTGTCCTCCTCCGTCCTCTCGCTATGGGTGCTACAACTTGTTCTCATGACTTGTCGACGATCAGGTGATTGTCATTCCCGTTCTTATTGGTTTGCTGTTTGAGCTTCTGGTGGTGGTGGCACTGCGAGTACCTGTGGATGAAAGCCCACTCCACTGATGCTTTCTGTTCTATACCACAAGCAATGGCAGGCCAGGCAACGCTGCCGATGGATTATCCCGGCTCCGCGGGAAGCCTTCGAAAGCGCCGAGGAAGAGAAACGTGGCTTCTCGGATGGGGAACGGCCGGGGCCGGGGCTGTTAGTCCTATTGCTCCCGCGGATCAAGCTTCAAGGCAGGAATGATTGTTTGTATACAAGTCAGAGATCTCATGGACACCCTTGGAGAGAGTGGTGGTCTCGTTAAGGAACTGCTGCTCGTCCAGGGCTCCAAAGTTGGCGGAGCTTTTGCTGCGTGTGATGGCAACCACGGTGCCGTCTTGCAAGTAATCCACCGCTTCCCAACTTGAACCCCTCGTTGAAGCCTTGGGTGGGTTGCAGCAACCCCTTGTACGAGTAGACGTGTCTTGCCTCGAAATCTCTGCGAGATGGGTTTCGGTTATTTTGCAGTCTGAACAGACATGTGCAGCAGCAGCCCAAGATAAGCAAGGAGCATACAGAATAAGCTGCACCACCTTGGAATACTCCACCTTGATTAGAACATAATATTGCCGCGATCTTTCTCTGAATGCCGGTGCAGGCAAGGGCAATTGGAGGCAGACACATCTAGGAACAACACATCGAGAATCTACGTACCAAGACACCTCTGATATGCATCGGCGATCCGGGACAAAGTCAGAGGCGCATTACTGTTTGGGGCTCCTGATCTCGAGCTTTCTCTCGGGGTAGAGAATGGTGAGGGAAGTTAGCATGAGAGTGTTGTAAAAGGGATCTTTTACTGACCAAATTGCTGACCAAAATTGTCCAGGCAATCCACCTCTTCACTCTGGCGGACAAAGATCTCTAGGGCAGTCGCGGAATGATTCTCCGTTGTCGCATCTCGTAATAGACTTGGTTCGTGTGATGCATTTGCCCTCTACTGCGAGCATTCTCTCCCAAGCTCGAAAGTCTGCCAGGCTCGATCGAATTACCGTTGAGCATAGGGAATGTTTCTTCCATACTCACCAAAGAGGAGCCATTGCCAGCGGAGAGTTCATGGCGGAGCTGGAGCTCGTTGTCCGCGATAGATCTGTGTCAGGTGAGGTGTGTGTGCCGTGAATGGCGACGAACAATCAATGATACGCTCACTCCCACCTCAGGGTCGCCCAATCCCTCTTTGTCAAGCCGGCTGAGAATTCCCAGCGCAGTGAGTGGCACTTCTTCCACCCCGGGGACATGATCATCGCCAGTGCCCTTGCCACCTTTGGTCTTTGAGCGGCCCTCCTCCATTTACGTCTGGTGCTACAGCGATCTCAACTCCTCCCCGAAGGGTCAGCAACTATACGTGCATGAGAGGGTTTTGCGTTGACAGGATCGCATGCGCTTTACATCTATGGCGAGTGGTCAGTGCGTGCATGCGGGAGAGATACTTTGCATGGAGACCAACATATAAAATGTGGGATGGCATACCAACTTAGTGTTGAGACCTACCTTCTGCTTCCTTCTGTTGGCGTATGATGCACTTCGGAGTCGATTCCAAGTGCTGGTCGAAGGTGGAGGCACCAGACTTGAAGGAAGTTCAAAAGCTTGCTTGGTTCTTTCGTTAATTTTTCTCTCTTTCTCTTTTTACTAGAAATTTTGGTTTCCAGCCAAAGACAGTGCTCAAATCTTTTCTTCTTATGCTCTTTGTTGCTTTGCATCAGCCACAAACTTGAGCAATTGAGTTGCATCGTATTTGAAACGCTGTTGCCTACTCCGACATAAAGGCTTTTCTTGATTCGATGGGAAGTTCTAAATAATTCAATATAGCTATGCATCAGCCTCCTTTGTTGCAAGAAGTAATCTGGGATGGAAAAACTGCTCGGGGGTGCTCCTGTTTCATCATCTTTTCTATAATAATTTACACACTGCTTTACTTCCGAGTATACAAACAATGATCCTCGCTATTCCTGCCTCAAAGCTTGATCCGCGGTAGCAATAGGACTAGCGGCCCCGGCCCCGTCCGCAGTAGCTTCCCCATCCGAGGAGCCACCTTTCTCTTCCTCCGCCGCCACTAGCGCTTTCGAAGGCTCGCCATAGTTGTGGAGCCTCTTGCCAATGAGATACCTGTCATCCCTGATCGCGTTGTGGACGTCGAGAAACAATTGCCTCAGCTGCCTCAGCCCATACCAGCCAGTTAGCAGCATCAGCGACCCGGCCCACGCGAACCGATAGACTGCCGAGTTGATGAGGATGGAGAGGCCCAGCGCTGGAAACAGTCCCCGAGCAGCGACATATGGGATGCTGAGAGCCGTCAGGAGCTTCACCAGCACCGGAGCTACAATCTCCTGGAAAACCCACCACCCGCGGAGCCGGGAGAATCCATCGGCTTTCACTTGCTCGAACTTTCGCCTCCAGCTCTCGTCCGTGAGGAGCGTCGCCTGGCCTGCCATTGCCTGTGGTATAGAACAAAGAGCGCAAAGGCATCAGTGGAGTGAGAAAGGAGAGAGCACAAATATAGCGTACCAGTCGAGTCCAGATTTTCAAGAGGACGAGTCCGAGAGCCCAGTCTTGATACAGCAAGAAGACGGGGCTTTCATCCACAGGCACTCGCAGTGGCACCACCACCAGAAGCTCAAACAGCAAACCAATAAGAACGGGAATGACAATCACCTGATCATCGACAAGTCATGAGAAGAAACAAGAACAATAGAAACAAAACTTACCCATAGCGAGAGGAGCACAACGCTCTTCGACACAATGGCTGACCACTTGAGAACTTGCATGAAAAGAACCCACATGTCATGCGTCCTCAAATAGTTTACTATGTAACGGACCGCTGCAGCTGCCGCCCAGATGACGAAACAGCCGATATTAAACGCATAGAGATCTGAAATAAGGAAATGTTAGATTTCTCATTTTACCGGAGCTGTGCGACATACCATTGCAGTTTGCACCCCTCGTGATTGGAAGGCGAGAGAACGAGGTGACAATGGCACGCCCAACGGAAACCGGAAGGACAATCAAGGACGAGTTGAAAACCAGCATCGTCAACCACGCCCCGAGCAGAAGCAAAACAATGCGCACCGCGAACTTGTACCTGGTAACAGCAGTTTATCGAAATGAATCCTGCCAACGTAGATAATGAGAAATACTTACTCTCCAGTGTCTAATCTTTCCTCGTCGGCGTTGGTTTCGCCATTAGCAGCTGGTGGTGGTGCGGCTTGTTCAGCAACGGCATTCCCATTTCCTCTATTTGTGTCCTCCGGACGAGGAAGGAGGTACTCGTAAAGATCGAGAGCCTTGCCCACAACTGAAAACCAGTAGAATAGAACAGCCTTGATGGTCGCTCTTGGGCGGAAGTGTTCGAGAGCGAACGGTATGCATATGTGAAACAAGAGCATGTCGGCAGGGAGCTCAGTAAACGGATCCGACACTCTGCAGGAGAATAGCGTTCAGTTGAAGATAGATCAAACTTATGATACAGCTTTACCTTATGTCCAGAGGAAAAACGGAAAAAGCTAAATGCGTGGCCACTTGAACCGGAACAAACACCAGTAAAACAATCAAGCTTCCATACACGACCACAGAGAGAAGTACTCTTCTAGCGTGCTTATGAAGCGGATCGTCAATCAAGTCGCGGAAAGGATTGTAATTTGGATCCGCCGGGTCACGCAAGAAATATAGGACCCCAGGGCGGAGAACCTGAAACTTAAAACCATTAGCATGAACTAGAAAACCCGGAAAAAATAGCAACTCACCTCGCGCAACAAGCTCACAAAAATGCTTATCTGTAGCATGTAAAATATGCCGACCAGCCAATGCAGAAGAGAGCTGGTAAGGGGTGAGGCCCAGAAGAATGCAACTCGCTGTGCAAAGGACACCTTTAGCATAGCCAAGGTGCAAACGTCGAGCCACCATCCGCAAACCAAAGGAAAGACGCCGAGCTCGATGACCAGAAGGAAAGCAACCTTGAGCATCGTCGCCACATACCTCACGCAACCGATAATATGTCGGAACAAAGAAGGGGCAGCCTCGGCTACTGACACCACCCCGCGAATTCGTCCGACCATAAGTGGCTCACCCCTTCCATAGCGGACGAGAAGTATCAAGCCGAGATAGAAGCTCAGCAGAAGAAAGATGACTCCATAGCCAACCGCAACGGTTGCTGCGTCGGAGAGCTGGATCGCAGTTACGAACACCTCGGCCATAGCATCGTAAACCGCAACAGCCTTGGCCACAACCTCCACTGGTCCTTCTGAGCGAGCAGGAGCTTTGCCAAGATTTAATACCGAGAGAAAGATACGGCCGATGGTAAACGGAACAAACGCAACTATTCCCAGGAAAATGGCATTGCTTGCTAGAACCTGAAGAAGAAGAAACAAAAGAAGTGTAAGCAAAGGAGAGCTTGGACTAGAAGAAACAACTTACAGTGACCGCATTCTCGATCAAATGGTGGATCGGTCCCTGCATTCCAACGAGCTCGTCGAAAGGAACATCCTCAGCACCATCTGGATCGTCGGCTTCAAACATCTGTTCCACGTGAGCTTCTATCCGCGCTGCGACGTTCTCAGCGTTCCTCCTGATGATCTCGCCAGCTCCAGCGGCTAGTCCCTGTCCCTGCCCAGCACCGCCATCGCCGTTCGCGGGAGGAGCTTGCTGCTGCCTATCAGCCTCCTGGCCAGCCACCTCCCGGATGTGTCTAAAGTACTCTCGCAGCGACGTTGCTCCAAGAAATATAAAGACGATCCCGGCCGAGATGAGGAAGCCATTCAAGCAGTCGGCGAAGAGGAAGGCCGGCGTGAGGAAGCGGGTGACGAAGAGCTTCTGGGCATCACCGAGGCCTCTCACGAAAGTCATCCTCCAAATCCAGAAGGTGGTGAAAGGGATGAAGAGCAGCCACACCGACAAGACGAGCACGAGCCTGGAGAAGAATCGCAGGCCCCTCCCGGCCTTGGCGACCATGCCATAGACGAGCTCGGTCACTGGGAGGCGCGTTGGAGCGTCCTCGGCATAGACCGGGGAGAAAGAGAACTGGTGCTTGCAAACCTGTGAAGAACGCGATAAATCTTGTGACTTGGAAGAAATTTCTCTTCTTCTTCTAGGCTAGACACAAACCTCGCATTGCTTGGCATTGCTGTGATTGAGCCACTGCAACAGGCACTCTTGATGCACGTACTTGATGCTGCCGCTGCAAGCGCAAGGATAGTAGAGTGGCGATCCATCCTCGCCCGATGTCCTGCAAATCCGGCAGACATCCTCCTCATCCTCAGCCGCGGCGGCGCCAGCGCCGCGATTCTCAGCTTCAATCCGAGAAGCGCTGCTCTCGATCTCCATCTCCATCTCCTTCTCGGGCAGCTCGATCGATTTCTCCAAACCCTAGCTAAGAGAGAATATTCCTTAAATTTGCCTGACGGACAATGGCGGAATCTTCTTTAACGTCTGTCGCATCTTTCTTTTACTTGCATTTGAATAGCCCGCCTTCTACACATTTGCATGCGCTTCGATAGGGTTTTCAGTGTAGTGGATTGGCGATTGAGCTAGACAAGGCGATGGCGCTAGCGATGGCGCTGCCCTGGTATGTGTGATTTCTTCCAAATGCAGCGCTTCTCTGATCGATGATCGCGGCCTTGTCGATACCGGCGTCCTCTTAGATCCGATTGTGTCACTGCGGCACAAGCATCGCCTCTCCGGTTCATAATCTCCGCACAAGCATCGGCTCTGCGGTTCATAATCTCCAGAATCTTGGAAGTTTTCTCACGATTCTCCGTCTGTCGCAGCTTGAATCGCGTGAAATCAAGGACCTTTCGACGACTCCCTGTATACGCCATGGGAACCTGGTCGTTCTTCCTCGCTATCGTACTCGCGAGCTTGTTCTCGTCGGCGGCTGAGCCAGGTTTGCTTTCTTCTCAGATGAATGGGCACTCTGTCTTATTTCTTTGTGCGTGTGTAGTGTCAGGTTTTCGAGAGCTCATAGTCGATTCGCCTCTTTACCTCACGTCCGCGAACTGCTCTTCGTTTGAGGAGAATAGAAGCAAGGCGTACTGCGCTCGCTTACGCGTTCTCGGACACTCGAAACAGATGCTGGATTTCGCCAAGTCCAGGATTATAAAGCTAGAAGAGGTCAACGCTACGTACTTTCCCACAATCAAAGGAGCATGCGCAGTGTGGTACGTGGGATTTCTACGTATCATCGATCAAATGCTAACAGAACATTCTCTTTGTAGGGGGGGCAATGACTCGGATATCTGCCGATGCCCATACGGAAACTTGACGCCTGCGAAGAATCGATCTCTCTGGACTGGGCGCTATACAACAGTTGAATCCTATTTCTTGGACATCAAACTGGCGGAGTCACGGAATCTCGTCCGTGTTACAGCGACCGAAGGTCAGCCTACATTTTTATTTCTTTTTGCTTGTAACAGTTGTAGCATGGTCAGAGTTCCATACCGCTCGAGTAGTCTTTCTTATACTTGGGATGGCGTTGCTGCTTCTGTCGACGATACTCAGTTCATGGGTTCCGCTATATTACACCAGCGCGATGAGCATCAGCATATTTTTTGTTGTGTTCTTCATTTTCCAGCAGGTACCGTTTGCGAGTTTCTTGAAAGTTTTGATGTAACTCTGTGTTTAAGGCTACGAGACGGTCTGGAACTGCGTTTCTGGTAAGCATACTGTTAAGTTTACAAGCTGACAAAAGCTTACGCTCAACAGTGGAGCTTCAGCTCAATTCGAACAATATATGGCGGCGCTTTCTTCCTCTTCATCCTCAGATATGAGATATTTGAAGGAATGTGGCGCGCGGTAAGCCTTTGGCGCGGTCCTGACTTGTCGTTGTTTCATTCTTGTTTCCATATAGGTGTTTTTGTTCTCTATCCTGGGAGTGTTTCTATTTGGCGCCTGGCTCGGCTACTGTGCAGTCCGCAAGTTCGTTTTAACTCCAGACGGGGAAGTTGATATTGGAACTGTTTACTTTGTTACATGGGCCATACGAATGGCCGGGACGGTCGCGCTTTCTCAGGTCGTATCCGCGCTGTCGGTTGTCCCTTCTGACTTTGTCTGTACAGAGCGCACCCCTCCCCATGGTCATACCGATAATCCCACTAGGCTGGCTTGCATCCTGGTTTGCAGACATAATGTTCACGACCGCAGGCATTACCGGAAGAAACCAACCTGCAGGCCACGGTGTTGATCACGGTAAGTAGGGTCTGTTCAACTCGCGAGCTCTATTTAAGACGTGCGACTGCAGAGAAACCAAGAACTCCACGAGGTCGGCAGGATGGTAGAAGTCCCGGAAGTTCCAGAGGTCGGCAGGACGGTAGAAGCCCCGGAAGTTCGAGAGGTCGCTCGGTTACTCCCACTGGAAGTCCTTCGACCAACGAGGCACTGAAGAGGTTGCTCGCGTCACCGGAGTTTGCGGCCTGGGCCAAGGCTGGTTCTCCAACCAGTGAGCCGGAAAAAGAGGAGCAAGAAGAAGAACAGGCGACGACAGGGCTGCTAGGAAAGCTGCGCTCAACACGGCGACGCTTGATTTGATGAAGGTAACACTCCTCCATCGCAGCCCGATCCTCAACCCCCGAGCTTTTTGATCGATGCTAGGCTCAACACTCGAAGATTTTGTGAACCGCGAAAAATTTAGTCGAATAAAATTGAAAGAATCGCGAGCGGCAGGATTCGAACCTGCGCGGACCGATAACCGGCACGCTCATATTTAGGGGTTTGATTAAAACCGAATATTTCAAGAATCTACGCAGAGAAATTTTTTCGTGAGCGGCAGGATTCGAACCTGCGCGGGCAGAGCAGCCATGCCCGATAACCACTCCGGCACGCTCACGTTACGCATATATTAAATTTGCTAAGATATAGAATGTACACTTCAGCATCATCGCGACTTGTATACATACGTAATCGATTTTCTCAGGCAAGCTGATTTTTTTTCTCATATTTTGATTTTTTGTCTTCATAGCGCAAGTATCTCAGTCTCGTTTCTCTTCATTCTTTGACGCTTTTCTTCTTCTCAGAACGAAAAGAAAGAGCTTCACTAACATTCAGCTAGTTCAACATTATTTCTTCATGGAAATTCTTTCTTTTCTTCTTTCTTGCCGATCACCTAACGATCGCTGGAACGCAAGAGCGATGGATCGACCAAGGCGGTGAAGCGCCGTTCCAGGAGCTTCTCTTCTCTCGATTCGTCATGGACGCGGATTCTTTGCGGATGATGCGCAAGATGGTATCGTCGGGGCAGTGTACGATCCCCATAATGTGTTCTGATAGCCGTCGATCTAAAACCTCATCGGGCTTGTCCAGAGGAATAAAGACGAGATCGAAGCGCAAGCTCATCTTGAGGTTCTCATTGACCGTTTTGCTCGACTGTAAGAAGTGATGCCAACAATTGGCGGCAGCAAGAACAGGAGCTGTCGCCCAACAAGACCAGCTTTTGCAACGGACACGCTTTGCCGTTCCATTGCCTCCAATAGAGGCTTGAAAAAAGAGAATGAAGACACATAAGATGAACTCGGCCCCTGGATTGGCACCGGAAAAACTCCACCAGATCGCCAGAGAGCTTCGATCTTCCGGATCGTAGCTCACTCCTGCGAAGTAGAGCCGCCAGTCGAGCTGCGAGATACATTTTCCAACAACGAATGCCACGTGATATTAAATGCTTATGTTTAGGGCGTTACGTCATAGGGTTGCTTTTGTCAAAGGTTACATTGAAAGGAAAGCAAGGAAGAGGGGGAGAACAAGAGTAAGTCTGTGGAAGGCTCGCTCTCTCTTCTTAGCAGAGTTCCATTAGTGAAATGGCTCTTTCTTTTGCTTTGACTTATCAGAGCTTTTTTTCCTAGTGAAAGGTGCTGGCTGCTTTCCCACGAAAGCAAAAGCAGCAAAGATCGACAAGGCAAAGGCCGAGGGAGCTGCATCCTCAAGTCACATATGGGGAAAAACTAATCCACTGAAGTTTCCTGCTTATTTGTACACAAAGGGTGTGTTCAAGGCGAACCACCCTTTGATTAAGGTGGGCAAGCGGTAAACAAAGTTGGCTGCTTCATAATACTTGTTGTAATGCTTGTAGATTGTCAGCGGAGAGGAACTAATGCCGGCATTTGACAAGTTTGCGCTGCCGCTGCTGGTGGATGCGCAAGTCAGACGAGCGGCTATTTTCTTGTGCTCTACAGAATTTACTCGATTCTATAAGTATGTTCTTTAGCTATGTTTCTCGTGAGTGCAGTAACGATCTTTTTTGGTTTCTTACCCAGACTTTACGGAAAGGCATCCAATGAAAAACAACTAACAGAGTTCCACCATTCTTTGGTCAGAGAACTGGAGAAGCTCACAATACCATCGGGCCAGACACTGAAGAAACTTGAGGGAGATCAATTGCTGTACGAGAGCCTAACGGGGAAAAAGAGGAAGCGTACAGATCCGTTGGACATTGCAAGCTTTTCAGACCAGCTGGACATGTTGTTGCAGGTGGCTGAGGAAAGAATTTCACAGGATTTGAAGGGGGAACTAGATTTTGACCTTGATCCTGAGCATGCTCCAGTAATAGGAGAAGATGGTGAAGAATCGAGGGGCGCTGCGGACCTCAAAGTGTACGTGCTGGTGAACAAGCTGCAAGAAGTAAGCCATCTGAATTGCATGTATAATCATTCTGACGTATGTTTTGTTTGACTCTAGCTTGTGAAGAAGTTAGTTGCGATTATAGAGTTCAAGTTCACAGACGAAAAACAGGCAGGCTTCCAGGGCGCCTGCTATGCTTGCAAAGAAGCTCCCATCAATATGCACAACTCCCAGACGAATCCCATTTACGTACTCTGTTTCTCCGAGCGCTGGAAACGTTCCATCCTACATTTGCGGGGAGAAGTTTCTGTAAAGAATGGCACACTCGATCGCAGTTCCCTTCCAGGTACTTACTATACTGAGAAAGTTGTTTCCTAGCAATGTGTTTGTACAGCTTTTAGGAAGACCGAGAAGATGATGGGTTTCAAGGACCCAATTCCCGAAGAGGAGCTTGTGGAAATGTTGCAGGAACGCACTGCTTTCTTCCAGCGGAAATATTCTCAAGCCCCACAGTCGCTCTACCCTGACAATATGTACCTTGTTGGGACGCTTTACACCTCCGACGAGGCAAGTATTTCTGAAGTTTTAAATGATTGATTTAACTTACGCCTTTGGCATTCTGAGGAAGTGGCATGAACTTCCTCGGAATGAGTTGTTTGGTGGTGGCAGTCCAGACACACACCGTCTCTATGAGGGACTTTTACGTATCATCATTGGAGATGCGGTGCTCAAATGGAGTAAGGAAATGCTTAACAAAGTTGTAGAAGCAAGGGAATCAATACGTATGGAGGAGCGAGTTTTGCACACAG